GAGTTATTTGTGAGATAATCCTAACTCATTTTGCTGAAAACACAGAAACATCCAGTAGTCAAAAGGTAAAAGCAGAAGTCATCTCAGTTTTTCTTTCAAGGATTTATAAATCAGTATTATTTCACCTGAGTAAAATAAGGAGTTCTGTTTCTAAGAGAGGCTCAAGGGCAATCAGAAGCAGAGAGGCCAAGAGAACTGAGCTCTGTTGTTTTGGTATCTACACCCCTGGTGTTTAGCAACTATTTCACCAGCAACAGAGATCTTGGATAGGTGCCCCTGGGTTTTAATTCCTATTCAGTTGAATTCAATAAGTACCCTATTCTAACATAACCAAAACAGTGGACGCAGGAATTCAGTTTCCAGCTTTTCATTCCCTCGGCAGGAAACCGTTGCTCTTTTTTCCAAATAGCTGAAAACAAAACAAAAAAATATCAGGAAAATATTCAGAGAATGAAAATGTTTGAGATAGAGAAGGTAATAATTTACATATGTGCATTGAAAAGTTTTGAAAATTAGTTTTGGAGCTCTGCTTGCACTTGCATTTCTTCCCCACTTACTATTGCTATCTAACAGTAAACTTTGTTCAATTCTGTCAGAACCAACAGGAAAACAGTAGAATATCACCCAGCAGATTCAAACAGCAGGAAAACAGCTTTGCCAAAAAATAAGTAAGTAAATAAATTATTTTTTAAATCACTGATAAGTAACATAAATAAAAGTTTTATTATTGATGTGTCCATGCTATTATCACACACTCTACTACACTCTTGTGTGGTTTACAGCTGGCTCACTGGACAGGAAATCATTCAGCTTCACCCTGGGCTCAAAAGCTGCAGCTAATCTAAATTATTTTGCAATTGTAAGAGTGGGCTACTTGAAAGTCTGAGATTTGTGGTGGTATTTCCCAAACTTTAGGCAATTCAAGGGTGGATGCTTAGATACAGATGAAATGAATGCGCATTAATGTGATCCCTGGCCAAATCTTCATTGCAAAATAGCTTTTGATGTTGCTTCTGAGTACTAAGTACTGCTACTGCAATGATCACAAATGTTGCTGGGCAGGCTGATACAGAGCTGCAGTCTGGGTAAAGGCTAGGGACAGTCTAGCTACAGTCCAGTGGGTGAAAAAGGTCATGGTGGGAGAGCCAACAGCAGAGTAAGGCTCATGTGGTTCTTCCACACCCAGTATATCTCACATATTCTTCATAACAGAGGAATAGCAGGATGGAAGGATACCCTAGCAGGTCTAGGGAAAGTGTTTACTTATTTGGCAGAATGGGAAGGAAGCCATGTGGAGGGGCACAGCAACATGTGGAAAGAGAGTTTTAGCTCCTATCTCCCTAAGGAAATTCATCCCTCCCATAATACACTGACTGTGTAAAGCATCAATAATGCCGTTACAATATTTATGTCTAAAATGAATGTTTGCAAAATGAATAGAGCTCTCTGCAACAATCTTGGAGCTGTAAGTGAACAAAAATGTAAGGTTGACCCAAGATTGTTGAATTTCAAATCTGCAAAGTCATTTCTCAAATGCACTTATTATCCTTGCAACTTTCACTCATTAATTTAAACTGGACTCTATGAGAAGTTTCATAGAACAATGGAAATTTCTACTATTTAATTAAGTGGGGTTTTTTTTTCTTTTTTTTCTGTATTTAGATCTTGCCCAAACATACATGAAGTAATGAATCCGAATATGCATCCAAAAGGTAAAATTCCTTCACTGCTGAAAAAGGAAGTACTGTAGCATGTCTGTGTAGCCTACTTCTTACTCAGAGCCAGCAAAAGTCTGTGATAGATCTGAATATTTTAATATCATAAAAATTAAAATGAATTAGTAGAAAAAATTTGAAAATAATGGACACCCACTAAGGGGATACCCAGTAATGCAGACAACAAAAAGGTGTTTACTTCCACTGTGCACCAAAAAATGTTTGGCTTCATGATGGCATACACTGCAGAAAGCCAGGAATAAGTTATTCTCTTGATGCAGACTGAAAACATCGGCTTGCTGATGGTTTCTAGAAAGCAACTAAGGGAACCTTCTTTTTCCTTCTGCTGCTACCTTTGAAGGTCTCTCCTATTTTGCTGTTTGTTGTTCCAAAACAAGACGACAATGACACAGGATCTCTAAATCTCTTTCCATGACAGATTATGGTCAGTAGCAAGCATGTGTTTAAAGTACACTAATTTCAAAAGTAAATCACTGCATTTACTTAAATTCCTTGTAAATGACACTGCAGTTCACAACTGTAGCTGAGCTGAGCCATTTAATGCAAAACATATAAAATTATCTAACTAAAAAGAGGCACAACTAGCCAGATGAATTTATTTGATGTACCATATGTTTATAGTGTTATGTGAAGTTTGTTTAAATGCATTCAATATCCACATAATATAGAAGATTATATTAGATTATATTAGATTAGATTAGATTAGATTTAGGGCTGGAAAAAGCAGTCTTGGGAAAAATAAAACCCAGCAATTTATCATCTAACTGCAAATCTTTTTTTGTTGTGGAAGCTGGCCTTAGCCCAAATGCCCACCATAACTTGTATTTATTCACACCTTTTTCATGACTCTGAAGTGAAACCTGCCTAATCTTTTATTTGGTACTCTAATTAAACCTGTATTGTTCAGGAAGCTTGTTTGTCTAGCCCCTCTATATGCTTAAGGAAGATGCCTGTATACCTGAACAGGACAAGGTTTTGCATCATAATTTTGAGCAAGACAGTAAAAGGTGACTCTGAAAATGTCTATACAGTTCTTCCTTGCAGCATTTCCAGCTTCAGGGTTTTTTCTACTCAAGTGGTTAGGACACACCCTGTCAGGATCAAGAGGTTTTATTAAATCACAACCCACAATTCTTTATCACTTTCTGCCACTGGCTGAAACACCACAGTGACTAAAAAAACCACTGTGCATTCATAGATTCAGAGAAGCCAGTGGGAACAGATTTACCTTCTGCTTTCCCACTTAAAGGGTTATGTTTTTGATGTACAAATTCCTAACCTGTCACCCTTTTAAACAAAACTTTTTTAGGTCACCATGAAAAGTAAAGTTGCCACAAAATGCACGCACTGTTTTATTCCATTGCAAATTAAAGATAACTTTTTCCATTTTGTCCTTTGACATCAGGCATTCTCTGTCAGCTGGCAGAAACACACCCACATGTATCCCACAGAAATATAACATCTTACTATTATTATAAGTGATAGTCTCTATTTATCAATTTCACAGGCATCGCAGCAAAGCAACGAAAAATTTCCAGACTGAATAAAACATGATGAGTCCCTATAGCTTGAGGAGACTCTAGCCTGTGCCAGCTTTAAATCTTTAGCTTGCAGTTAAAAAAATTTTGCCAGAAGGTCCAGCTGATTGCAGCTACCATCTTCATTATGAAAATGATATTCTTAAATAACAGGAAGAGTGGTTTCTCACTGGTTTGCACTCCTCAGCTAGCACAGAGCAAATATTCGGGCAGTTACCTTATGCAGGGCAGACCCATGGAAAAGCAGCACCAGTGCTGCTCCCTTCACTGCAAAGGAGGCCTAAGAAGAAAGAAGGCAGACTGAGTTCATCCCAACTCCAGTGATTCATGCATAACAGAAGAGATGATAAAATGACCTGGACATCAAATTGTAAACTGATATTGGATAGCAATACATCATCCCAAAGGCTTGTGTCAAACAGTCCCTTTTTAGCATTAAGACACTAAATTCATGGGCAATAGCATTGATGTTCACCACTGATACTCATTTTTTTATTGTTGAGGATAAATCAACCACACTTTTTTATGAACAGAAGTACAAAGGCTACAAATTAAGACACTGCCTTTTTTATTATTATCCTGGTGCCACCTTTAACTGGGCTTACTTCTGATAAGCACCAGTATAACAAAACAGAAAATCAGACAAGTAGCTTGCTTGAATAAGTCTCCTTCCCTGTTGCCCAGGAATGATCCTCCGAGCAGAGATTAAAGTACTACATACATTGAATAAATGAACATTCAATGCCATCTGCTGGGGTATACAAAAATATGCAATACCAGGCTCACAGGACCAGACCAACAAATACAAAGAGGGTGTTTAGGCAGAAACTTGATTCTTCCAAAACACAGCTGTAAGGGAGGGTTGTGGGATGCTGACTGTCCTTAACACCCTTCAGCCATGGGGTATAACCCCTGGAGAAGAAGTAATTCTGGTTTTAACTCTCTCCTTAGCATAAAAGTTGTTCAGCGCACAATCATCCCTTTTTTTCTAAGCATCACAACATGCGGTTATTGTTTGTTATTGGTTGGTCTTGACAGAAAGACTTTCATGCTCTGCTTTTGAAATCTGGCCATTATGTAGACAGAGATTCAAGATTTGTGAAGTTACAGGCAGCCTAAGAAAAAGTCCAGAATGAGAGCACATACTGGGCAAGGTGATACCATGGCTGTTATGTATTAGAGTCACTGGGTTAAATGTGTAGATCAGATTAAGTGCAGAAGTTGGGAGTCTCTGTTCACCAGCTCTTTGGCCCTGTAGCTCATGCTCTCCTGGCTATACCATGAGACAGCTTCACCAGCAGACAAACACCACTGAGAACAGTTTATAGCCTGATAGCTGGAGTGTTCTCAGATTTGGGATTTTCTTCTGCTATGAAGAGAACAAAACACATTTCTATTCACAGAGGGATTTCCAGACCAGGAGTCCCACAGTTCTCAAAGTTCTGCACCAAGAAGCAAAACTCAGAGAGAGAGAGAGAGCAGTTCAAGCACATCCTTTTTTGGGTGTTTTTGGTGGGAGGGCTCATGGTTGTGAATCCCATTTCCACACAGCTACTTCCTCAGGCACTGTATAGGTTCACAAACTCCTGGGTGGACCTACTTCATGTCTTTTTTTTTTTTTTTTCCTGTATCTCTAAAATACTGTAAATAAATACTCTAAAATCTGCAGTTGGCAGACTTTTATTCCTTTATATAAGTTACTAGCTACTGTATAATTTACAACAGAATGGGACCTGCTGACAGCTTTTCTCCATTTCATACAGAAAAGAGAACTATTCCTGCTAACACCTTTCATTCTGTAAGTACCACTGGTTCTTCCTAAAATTTTACATTTCTTTCACTTCCTGACATGTGTTAATATCATCTTGGCTATAATACTAACAAAAAATGCAATCATCGCTGGGTTTTAATGCAAAACAAGGCATAAGAATTGTGAATTATAGATGAGAACTTTTACATTTTTTTAGTGGGATCTAGACTGGAGAAGTGACTCACTTGCCAATTCTCCATTAATGGGCTGAGTCTAAAATATACCTCTATCATAAGATCAGGTAAAAATAACAGGAGTCAAGCTGAACAAGGATGTAAGTCATAAATCTCAAGATTAAATATGTAAGTAATACAAATGAAAGCTGAAAAGCAAACAGAGCACATTTCAATGTCTTTCCATTTGTATTTGAAATCTGGGTTTGAGTTTCAGGTCTGGTGTATAAGAAAAGATTGCAAATACCTTTTAAGTCACAAAAAGATGAAAACACAAGTCTATGTTTTAATAAGTAAGTTGGACAAACAAAGGATGACTAAAGATGCAATCAATACTTTGACTGCTTCAGATTTCACAGAATGATTAATAACAATCAGATGCCATATGGGATTAATACCAAATTAAAGGCAAAAACAGCACAGATCAGAATGGGAAAAGAATGGTCAGAAAATTATTTACTTATGTCAAGACACTTAAATAATTATTTAAGAAATTTCTAAGATATTAATTTATTCTTTTTGGGAATTCTCCAGAGTCCTGAGTTTCTAAAATTATGGAAAAGAACAGTGGTAACCGCAATTTCTTCCAAGAAAGAAAACTAATCCTGAGGACTTATTTGGTACCTGGAGAGATTATTAAACAAAGTCAATCTGAAAGCATCTTTTGGAAATAAAAAGTCTGATTATGTAAAGAATTGTTAATGTGACACGAAGAACATCTCATCAGTTCCACAAAGTAAAAGTAATTTCCTTTTCAGCAGAAATATGACTACAGTGATGAGAAAGAAAACAGTAAATGTGATATATATTGCTTTTTATTAGGCCTCTGATATTTCCCAGAAGACAGTCTCACAAGTACATGCCTGGTCTGGATGAAAATTATTTCATCTAGACGAAAGTGCTTGCACAACTGATTGAAAAAATAGCCACTCAGCCTGGCTGACAGCATTGCTATTGAACTGGAAAAAGTGGTGCAGAGAAGAGCCTGGAAATCCAGGCACCCTGCAGGGCCTGTCTAAGGTGTGGTGACGTTTTTATATACTGCCATAAAGACAAACCTCACCCTGCAATGCACTGTAAAGAACACTTCTTGGAGGTCTGCCTCATGTTGTAACAAAGATGTGTACAACCTGGAGTGTGCTCACGGGAAAGTAACACTGGGGATGTGAGATTCAAAGTCTTTTAAGTCGGTTGACAATCCAAGAAAGACTTAAAGAAGTATATTTGCTTAGTGAGAAGAATAAAAGTATACATAATTATAAGCATTAGCATAATAAAGTTTGAAATAAAGTGGATAGTAATCAATTTATTTAGTGTCCTTGGAGAGTAAAACAAATTGGCTTCAATTCTAGCACTCAAGAAAAAGCATGAAATGAAAGGGCAGTTAACTGGTAGAAGATAAATCAGGAAGCTATTGATATCCCATTAGTAATGAGAACAAAACAAACATCAGGGAATAAATTTGAGAGTAAAATAAATTTGCAAATAGAAGAAACATCAAAGAAGACCAAGTGCATGGAAGCACCTACACTGTTGGTGACAAAATATGACTTCTAGAGGCATGGGGTACCCTCAGCTGGGTTTCCTCAGCAGCAATATTGGCTCTGTGCTGAAGGAAGCCAGAAGTTACGTTTCAGTGAGCAGACAGTGAAGGTGAAGGGTGGAGCAGCACTCCAGAACACAACCTTGAACAAACCTATACAAGTGTAAAAACACGTCCAGAGACTTCCTGAGCCACTCTCAACACCATATTTCCATGGACTCCACTGTTCAAAACATACTCACTATCACAATCGCTTGGACTGCACATTTGTTAGCACAAATTCCCCAAAACACCGTACATTTTTATTTTGAAGTGTGACATTTATGATGAGCTAGTTAATATATTCTTGCAAGTAACATATGTAAACAGTCAGTACAACAGAAATACCACATGGATAATATTATAATAAAAGATACAGTTTCAAATGTCTGCAATGATCATAAATTAAACACTCTCATTATATTTTCAAGAGCAGAGAGGCAAAATTCAGAGAGACATTTAAACTGTCTCCCAAACGACTATTTCATGAATCTAAATTAAAAATTTAGGTACTCAAATCACTTCCTCAACTACTTTCTAACCCTTCAGTTTCCATCAGAAAATTTCCCATGCACCAAAATGTCTGGTTATGGCAATCATATATTTCCACACTGAAATCAATCTTGAACTTAAATTTATTTGTATTATCTCTACATCTCTTCTTCTATCCAGAGTGAATACTTGACAATGAAGGGCAGGAGTGACATACAGCTTTCCTCTGAGCTGTCCGAGGAGGAAGACAATATGTACGAGACTGTAAATTCTTCAGTGCTGGAGGCCATTCATTCTTTGAGAATCCTTCCTGCCAAACCTCTACAAGAATCTGAATATGCAGGTAACAATTTCTGTCTGTGGAAACTGAGCAAAACCTAGAGTTATAGAGCATCAGTACAGATTGGAGTTTTCTGTCCAGATTATTTTTTTTTTAATTAAATGGTTCAACTGGAAAAATAATACTGGTAGGCAGAAACATGGGAAGAGCTTTGTCTGCTTCTGCATATTCAACAGTTATCCTTATTTTCATTAGATTATGCTAAATTAATAACTACACACTGCTTTTTAATTTTAATATTACCTTCATGGATGAATTCTATTATCCCATTCCACATGGAATGTGCAAAAACCTGGCTGCTCAAACCCACAGCCATTTCAGAAAATCTCACTGCTATTTAAGCCTAGAAACCTTCAAGATGGAAAACATGTTAAAGAACACACTAAACTTTCCTCCAGATGATAATGTAGTATCCTTTCCAAAGGAGTTCTCTGATGCTTTAAATAGCAGTAATAAGCAATTCCTTTGAGTGTATTTCTCAAGCATTCTTAACTTTGTAAGGTAGCTGCATTAATCACCTTTTGGTTTACTAAAGCTATTCTAAGTCACATTTAATGTCTAAACATACAGAACCAATTAATATCCCATTTATGGAAGTGAAATGTCATCCTAGCTGTGCATTGCTCCAATCCAATATAAACACTCTAGAGGTTTTAAACAGCTTAAAGAAATGGGGGGAGTCCTAGGTGAGAAAGACTGGAAACCATAAACCAGATAGCTCGCTCCAGTTCACATCAAAGTCAACAAAGACATTTTCTACTCATTTTTTCTGGGAGTTTGTTTGATGTCTAAACAAATAGATGGCTTTTAAAGTGAGTAAATTCATCAGTGTGTGAAAGGTACACAATCAGCCTGAACAGCCAGATATTCTACATTATGTTCCAAGACTAATTTGTCCATCTTATTTGGAAACCTGAAGTGAATTCCAAATACAGTTTTTATCTTGGTTAGTAGTAAAAACTTTCATTTAGCAGTCAGCATCTTTTGGTTTTTTAAGTAAGATTGTCCTAAACTAGCCAAAAGACATAGTTTTTGTTTTGTGATTTAAGGTAAAACACATTAAACAAAAAGCTGGTTTTTGCCTGTGTATTATTCCCAGTATAATGTGGCAAGACAGAAGAGTGAAGGACTGAAAAGATACTTTAAAAGGGTAAAATTCAATGCTAAAATTTGTGCCATCTTCTCTAGATAAATGCCAGTGCCCTTGAGATGTAAAATTAATGACTGAAAAAGACATGTTAGCATACAGCCTGAGCATTTCTTTTTGAATGCCAGGGATACAGTTTTTTATTAAAAGCTAAAGTAAAAATTAAAATACTACCTAGAGAATAAAACCCTTACAACCTTCGCAAAACCAGAACAACATGACAGCATTGCCAAGAGCAAAGGTTCAAATGAAAAACAAATTCAGTAATCTAACCACAGTTAAGGTCAAATGTCTGCCCTAAGTGTTTACCAGCTTTTGAAGGCTTTTATTTATAACCAATGTTAAGCATAAAGCTATTACCAGGGTGATGCTTACGTTCTCAATACAGCTGCTATAATAGTTTGTTAAGTTCTGAGGGGGAAAAAAAATTAAATGCTATATAAATGGCGAGACCTGACCTGAAAAACACATTTTGAACATTAAAACCCCTCCTTCTTCAAACATCATATTACTGAATTACTCAGGCTTGATTTTTCTTCCTCTTTTGCAGACACACGCTGCTTAAGGCCTTCAGGTACCACTTCCCCAATGAGCGAGAGCCCATCTCAGCCCCCTCAACACTCAGCCGTAAGTAAAGATACCAAACCTTATTCACAAACAGATTTCCCCTTTTCTGTAATAGCCCCCAAAACAGTCTATTTAAAATCTCAGCCACATCACTTTCATCTGCACCAGGCAGCCCAAGTTCCTGTGAGCTGTTCCTGTTTCACTTTGCACGGATGCCCTCGCCTCCTGCTTTCACTCCTTGGCTCCGGGCTTCTGCTAAGAGTTAGAGCATCCCAGCCAGGAGCAGCACCCTTTCTACTGCCATAGCTTCAGGAATGACGGCTAACATCACATCTTTCTTTTGGTTTATTAACAGATTCACACATTTGATCCGGAGGGAAGAACAGTGCCAAATGTAAGAGGTACAATAAAAAAAAACTACCCATTTCTGCAAACAGAAATAGTAATTTCTACTTCCATATTTACCTTTTGTACATAGGCAGAGATTACACGTGATAGAATAGACACGGTTTTCAGAACAGCAGCTGCTTTCCAAAACAATCATCCTGCAAATTTTGCAATACTCTTTCATCTATCTAACACTGAAGTAATTATTTACAGAAGGAGATATATGTTATCTCAGGAGTTTCCTGCTCCTACAAGGGGAGGGAACAAGCCCTTCAGTTTAAAAATCAGATTTTCCTTTTCACTATGTTGTAAGGACATAAGGGTCAGGGAGAAGCCAATATCTCCTGAAATTTTTCACCAAAAGTCTGCAAGATCCCTGCTGGGCTTTACTTCTAATAACGTAATTCTTTTTCACTCCCTATCCCTCTCAGGGTTTTTCCATGCATATATTGTAAAACGTAATCTAATAACTATTTTTAACTAGTAATACCAACTTCAGCAATTCCCACTAGGGATTTACATCCTAAGGTGACTATTTACAAAGGCTTTCTGACAATGTTCTGACCTACTCAGAATAAGCTAATGGTGTGGTACATTACCTAGTGTATTTTTTTTCTCTGCTGCTTTACCTTTAACCGTAAATTTGCTTCAAAATCCTTTCATTTTGAGTCAAAAATGTACCTTTAGTTTTTGTTCTGTTTCTTGTGGTGAAATCATAGACAGGCAATCTTATTCTTCAAGAACCTAATGAAGTGTCCAAATATAAAGTCCTCTGATTGACAGTTTCACTCAGTTGTAGGATTGTTTTAAAAGTAGGTTTCTATACACTTTTTTACATTTCATTTACTTTGGATGCAGCAGTAACTCATGAAGTCAACTACTGAAGGATTAAATATTTGATTATCTTTGAAAATAAATGGTATTTTTATCTTACTATTTTCAAATCTTAGAATCACAAGGTAACATGCTCAAAAAATCTGCAATTGCCAAGCCAAGAAAATGTGACCCTTTTATGTTTGCTGTAATGGCTGATTTTTAGAAAGTATTATAATTTGACCAGCCAGAAAAGTAACTGAAAGAATTCCATGTAAAACAGCATTTGCTTTTTTTTCCCGCCTTATTTCACACTGTAATGCAAAATGTAGAGAGAAGTAATTCCTACAGATGGTGAGAAAGTAAGCCCTATATAGGTTGAAAATGAAAGGTGAGATGGATTCTTGATGAGCAAATCCCCATGTAATCTGGCAAAAAGCTGAACTGAGATAAATTTGAGTAAACCAGCTTCAAAATCTGCAGAAATCAGTGGGCAAGAACAGTTTGCCAGTTTATCTAAAGCTTTGAATTCCACCAGGATTTAATAGGTTGGATTTACATGTCTCCATGTGATGTGTGCTGGTGTTAAGATGAACCAAAGTCAGTACAGGAAGGTAAATTAAACTCTGGTGTTTGAGAATGCAACTAATGCATATTTTTAGTAGTTCTTGAGTGAACAGTGCTTATAGAGAACACTATTATTTTTAGATAACAGCTACACTGTTTTTCAATATATCCTAACATTTTTTCTCATGCCCAGTGCTATTAAGTGGCCTTGCCACAAGATGGCACAAATAGCACAGAAGACTTTTTTTCAGCAATATTTTCTAGAAATGTTAACCATTTAAGGTATCATTATTTTATTCAAAGCAATTTTTAAAGTTTATTTGAAGGAGAGCTTGAGATCTGTTGCGTGTCCTTCGCATTATTTAGTATTTCAGCATGCTGAACTTACAAAAACAATTTCAATATAGCAAAAATAAATTATGTTATTTTTTTAGTAATAAGATTTAATTTAAATAATAAATCATATTTTGGTATATTTGAAAAAATATAACTGACTTCATTAGTTTTCAGTATTTTTTAAATTGCTATACAAAAATAAAAACAGACAAAAAATGCATCACTAACTCAATAAGCATATATATATATATATATATATATATGCATATGAAGTCTTTGAAAAATATTTAAATTTACAATACCTGAATAAATATCATCCTCAAATGCTTCATTCTGAAAGCAAAAGCAGAGTTCTAGAGGTAGAGCCAAGGGAAGGCAAGGAATGGGGTTGGACTGCCCATAATAATAACAACACCAGAATAAAGCTGTAACTTCATTTGTGAATTGTATGGGTAGCACTCTACTAAGAATTGTTTGTAATTATTCTTAGGAGGAAGAATGAAAACACATGGATACCAGGTAAGCAGAATCTCTCATCAATTCATTTTTTTACTGGTTATTTTGCCATTTAATAGATTTTTAGAAGCAGGCTGCCATTTTGCTAGCACTAGCTAAAGGAAGAGTTCTCCTATCTACATTGCCTCACTCACTTGCATTCACGTGAGGATGTCTTTTATTCCTCAGCGATTTTAAAATGCCATGTTACAGAATGATGTTTGGTGCTGTAGAGCACATAAACCCTTTGACTCTTGATACAAGCACGTCTACTTAATCTAAATTCTTTATATTTCTCTCTAGTAAACTAAGGGGGGGAAAAAAAGCTTACGGGGATTTTTGTTTCCTGTCTTTTCCAGGAGCCTACACCTCCCCCACGGTAAGATCACATCAGAGATCACTTACCTGTGCTCCCCGGGGAACCCAGCGCTAATGAATGCTCAATCCATCTGTGCTGCTCATGGTAATGAGGTGACTGGAAGTGAGCCAGCATCCTTTTACTGCTGGCTGTCTTTGGACTTAACAGGTTCTGATATGGAATTAGGGAGAACAAAACACGAGCTCTAAGCATTCATAGCAGGAGCTCAGGCCTGCTTCTTCAAAACTAATTTGGCTGTGCCTGCAGACAAGTCAAAAGCCTAGAAATATTGAATCTGGTCCAACCCAGATATAAATTGCTGGGGAAAAAAAAATATTCCACCAATTCTATTGGTGCCTTAGGCTCTGTCCACTGTGATAATATTGACTTCATTCTCACTTAAATCAATTTGCCAGTGCTTTTTGCTACACATCTAAATCATGTATGGAAATCAACTGGAATATTTCCACTTACTCCCATAGAAGATAGACCAAACTCTATTCTACAAATGTATTTTTCTATGATATTCCCACAAATTAAAAATTAATCGCTTCTTGATTTGGTCAAACTCAAATAATAACTGCTATAATTAAAAAATCCTTTCAAAAGGTCATCTAGGAATGGCAAGTTTATTCCTCCATGCCTACAATGACTGCTCTAAAAGATAAAAAGAATTTTAAAATATGATTAGCATTACACGTTTGGATTTGACTCTAAAAAATATGAAATAGCATAAAAAGGCAGTAAAACTTCACAAATTTGAAACCGTAATAATGCAGGAATAAGAACATTCTCAATTATTCTACAAAATTTCAAAAATTTGTTTCTGTTTGTATTATAGTGGCCAGAATGGTTCTTAATTCTCTCACCTGACTTAATTTGGGTATGTACAAACACACAAGGCTCCCTCCCTGGAGCCCACCACTGAAGGCAGCTCTGCCAGGCACCTTGAATGCACCTCCAGTTTTGTCCAGCCAAGCTCTCCATGCTACAGCTTCCAGCTGGGCTGGGACTGCCTGGTCTCAGAGCACAGACAGGGCATGCCCACATCCCTCAGAAAACACCAGGCTCATGGTACCTGTGAGTCTTCTGGGATGAAGAACATTTTTTCCTCTGTCTGAAACTGGATTGTGTTCGCTGGACCATATACACAGCCACATCCACCTGGAAATATCCACACTGCAGAGCTGTGCTTGGCACGCACTGGTGAGGCACACCAAAGCAGTATTTAGTGGCACAAAACACAGTGCAGTAATGTCTTGCAAATGTAGAATATTATCCAACATTACTATTGCTGTTGAAGGGCCCTGAAGAGCTCCTGGATCTGAGTTGGCTCAGAACAAATACATTGAAATACTCTCAGAAAATTCCAGTCTCTTACTTCTAGAACTTGCTTTTAAAACACAGTCCCTGCACCTCCTTCATTCCCTAATAGTTCTTCAAGGTCTCTTTTGACTTCCCTAGGCCTCTGAAGATGCTGCCAAAGCAGTATCAGCCCCTTCCTCCAGAGCCAAGAATAAGCAGCCAGGTCTTGCACAAGAGGAACACACTCAGCCGAGATCCCACCTTTCCAATATCAGCAAAAGTCACAAGGTACAGTGCATTCCTCATCTTCGTTCCCTGAGAATCAAAACACTCTCCCTGCTCAAACCACAAAATTCTACTTCTGTCACACCTCTGCTTTTGCTTAAGGAAGTTATTCTTTAGACAGCTGTGAATAATCGAGAGAAGTGGTATTTAGTGTAATGTGACACTGGCATTTTTTTTAAAAAAAAAAGAAATTACAAAATAATGGTAAAGGAGTAGAAAAACAGAACTTTCATGAACACTTTGTTTAAGATTTCTTTTCCTTAATAATATTTAGAGGTCTTGCAACCACTTTTAAGTACAAAACTTGTACAAAAATTTAAGTACAAAAACTGTACCTAGCACAGTTAGTGAATCAGCTGATGGGGAAACACACTGACTGCACCAGAGATACAGAAACTCACATCCCAAAGATATTACATGCAGCAAAAGAAATTACTCATCTGTAGGCAGAAGTCTGGCTTCAGCCCATGAGACCAATGAATCCAAGCCGCAAATCACTTCTCGCCCTTTCCATTTTGCACTCCTCAGCCACACAACACCCGTGGTCATTCAGCATCCTGACGTGGCAGTGAGGATGAGCCACCTGAAGCACAAACGCTCGTGCCCAGCTATGACCCAGCACATGCTTATGCCAGGTTAGGAGTCCAGCTGCTTTTTCCACACAACATGTACCTGGCCAGATGAGCATGAACACCCCTGCTCACTGCCACACAAGCAGAGGTGCACGTGTGCCTGCTGTGTGACCAAAATTCACATTCATAACGGGGACAGTGTTGGACACATGCTGGGAACAGGAAAGACACAAATCCAGGCACCACAGGGTATGATGCTCAAATGACTCCTACAGCAACCAGAAGTTGGGTCAATCTTGTCCATCCTCCCTTAAATGATTTCAATTCCAGCTCATCAGGATGGAATTTTGCTTCATTTTACAGAGGTCACTTCAAATCCTTTGGGGGGAAAATAAGCTTAAAAATCAAGAAAATAATCTTTGGCTTAAAGTATGTATTTAATGAGTGAGCTGTAATTATGGGTTGTGTTTTTTTCTTGAATGGTGCTTAAATATTTTCATGGCTTAGGTTCCAAAATATCTTGTTTACTAAGACATTTTATTAACATGAAGTAGCTTCATATTCAGATGCAAGACCTGACATAGAGCTGCAAAGTTCCAAATCCCACAACTGATCCCCTCCCTTGGTAGAGCAGCATAGATTGAAAGCTTTTTGAGAAATGTTATAATCCATGTTGCTAGTAGATATCAGTATGATGAGCACTTCAATTTAAAAGGTCCTATTATAGAGCCAAATTCTGTAATATAAATACATGTCATGTCTATTTTATTAGGATTTTTTATTACATCAGTAAAACAGAAGTGGAACAGAATAAGACAACACAATATCTGGGGAAGGCACTTGACAAATTTCCCACAAGCACTTCACTCAAAATATTTCTCACCCATCCTCAGTTCAGTCACAGCTTTGTTAGGAGAAAACATACCCATGAGCTGCAGAGGGAAGGAGTATGGCACCACAGCTTACAGTCCTTTGACAGACTGTAAGCAAAGCTGTCCAACCATAGATGTGATTTAGGAGTGCAAGTCTTGTTTTCCAACAAAATTTGGAAGACTTATAAAATTTAACACATCATTATTTATACACTCTAAAAATAGCTTCATAAAATAATAGGCAAGTGCAGGGTCCTGGAATGTATATTAGAAGCTCTGGTGTGATTGAAACTTTTATAGGGCTGTGGTAAGCAGGCAATGCAAGGGCCATGTCCCTTGGAGGTGGAGGCCAGCCCTGCAAGCACATCTTTAAAATCATGGAACTTTTCCACACACCCAGTGTCCTGAATATGCTGAATATGGGCTTTCACACACTAAGTAATGGCCCTGGAGACCAAGCTAACAAATTGAAGAAACTAACACAAAAACAACTATCCAAACCAAAACAGTTCCTCTCCTTTCTCCTAACCTTCTTGAATAATACATATAATTTCCAAATTTCTTGCCTCAGGCCTCCATGCTGATCAGTGTTTTCAACACAGACATGAGGAAGAGAGCCCTTGTCCCTGTTGAAAAATAGCTCCCAGGGTTTCCTATACCAGATCTTCCTTTTGCCTTCTGACTGATTTAGGAAAATATCTCACTGTCGTATTTTTTCAGTCCAGGAGATAGGCTAAACAGAGACTAAATCTCAGAGCCTTCCAAAAACTACTAGATGCTTATTCACACCTTATGTTGCTAAATAGCTTGTAAAATCTGGTCCCCTGTCTCTTTTATTAGGAGATACACACTGCTAAAAAGTGTAAGGTTTCATCACAATCAAAACATCTAACAAAAGATGCCAGACTCAATACTTCATTCATTTTTCTTTTTTTTTGAAAGGAGAATATTTCCTTCCCAGGAAAGGATGATACCCCTGTTGATCAGTCATATCAGGAGAAGGCAGAAAAATACCTTAACATCTGCTTAATGAGGGCCATGAGGAACATTCTCCACTCATCTTTCCTGTTTTGCACTTCCTTTCCTGTACACTTTCCATTTCAGCTCTGTTTCATTTTTTAAATTATTCAGTCTTCAAGGAACTTACTTCCATTTATAGCTGATTCTAAAATGTGTAATGAGACCTTTTGGCATGAGATGAAAAGTGCTGAAGTTGATACTCCTCTTTTTCCCCCTTCTCCCAGTATAAATCCTTAACAAAGTTGTCTTTTACCATAATGAATTCAGTGGATGCTATTCTTTTCTTAAGGAGGCCCAAGATACTTCTCCTGAAAATAATTCATGTAAAAAATAACCAGCCTCTCAACTTCTCTAGCAGTAGCAAAATTCTTCCCTTGTCAAGATGTAACCATCAGTGATGATGTGCTCAAAGTGATTTTTATTTTATCATAATTAAATGTTTTGCATATTATTCTTTCTTTTCCAGACATTCATCTGTTAAGGAATCAAATAAAGTAAGTATTCATCTTTGTATGTAGTAGGACCATAAAAGCCAAACACATTCCATGGCTACAGTATGTAATAGTATTTTAACCTATTAGGTTAAAAAAAAAACGTAAGTCATATTAGCTTTGTGTCATAACACTGTCCATCTTTAATGTGTGTTTCAATTTCAATACTGCTACTTCCTGAATGGGGTCAGTTTCTGAATTTGTTTGCAGAAATAAGAACAGGTACAGTGCAAAGCTCCCTGTCCAACTGTCCACATAAAGCATCTCTCGTGACTGCCTGATGTGGATGCCTCCTGTGCAGAGGGAGCAGCAGGAAGCATTCTCCTTCAGACAAAAGGAGATTCCACATACATTTTTACAAGGAGAAAACTGAAATTATAAGGTCAATAGAGGAGTGTAATTGCATTAATGTAATAAAAATACTTCAAATATAAGATGACCCATTTCAATACGAAACAAGAACAGACAAATTTTAAATCCAGTTTTAGCAGTGCCTTCTATCCCCCAGCTCCCTTTTGCCTCTCCTTCCTCACTCACTTTCTACTCAGACCAATGAAGTAAAGCAGAGGAAATGGTTTTAGCAATAAGGGAGTTTAGTAATGACAAGTGGTTTGCTATAAAACTTATTAAGAAATACAGTCCCTACAATCATGCTGTGCTATAGGATGTTTGTAAAATTTGGGAAAAGGTTATCATTTAGAGCATTTTGTGCTTCTTACTGAATGTTTTAGATCCTGCACTAATGTGTTCCTACTGAATAGGTTCGGGGTTTTTTTCTCATTAAAGGGAACAGAAGAAAGGAATCTTTAGTAGTTAATCCCAAATGTTTCCTTCTACAGCAGGTTGAAGCACAAATCCACAGACTTGTCTAACTTTTAAATCCATTGAGTTTTCCTTCCCCACAGCTCTGACTAGGAGGCTGCCCCAAACCTCACTCCTCTTGGTTAGAAGCTTTAGTTTGAAAGATGGTGACAAAAACATGGTTTGATAGCAATATTGTAATCAACGCTTACTGCTTAAAAAAGTTATATATTGGCACGAAAGATAATATTTTTTTTTAAAAAACTTTTTCTTGTACTGGATACTGACTCATTACAAACTAAATATGAAAACACTTCCAAGAAAAATAAATATGTTACAGCTGTAATTAATATTTCTGGCTGGACACTGTACAGCTGCACAAATACTTCAGCTCTTAACAGACTCTTAATTTCGTTACATCTTAAGGGGAAATATTGTATGTCTCATGACATGGAAAAGGTAAAATTTAATTTTGGTCACTTCCCATTGCTATAGATATGAAGGCCTAAACAGTTTCAGTGTGACCTGGAGAAGACAGTGTGCCCTTGTCAGGGTTTCAAACACCAAAGAGCAGGTTTGAGAGAAGGACTGCCCCCCACCACAGCCCAGACAGGCTGCAGGAAAGGGAACTGAGGAGCCTCTTGAAATTGGAAAGGACAAAGGCAAAATGCTACCTAAGAATGAACTAAACCCTCTGCTCAGCTCAGAAGGACCTGGGGACCAAAGGCTGAACGTGAGCCACTGGTGTACCCCTGAGAGCCATAAAGGCCAAGAGCACATCAAGCTGTGTCAACAGAAGCATTGCCAGGAGAACAAGGGAAGGAACTATTCCCTTTTACTCATCACTCATTAGACAACACCGGGAGTGCTGCTCAAGGGTGAAGCTGACAGAGCAGAGAGGGTCAGCAAAGGCTCACCAGGACATGCAGTACCTGCCCTGTGAAATGAGGCTGGTGGGACTGGGCTCCCTTTGCCTGGAGAGGGAACAGCCCTGGGGGAGCCCAGCAGCTGCCAGTTGCTGTCTGAGAGATGTTTGTCAAAAAGGCAGAGCGTGGTGTTCACAGAGTGCACAGTGGAAGTACAAGAGGCAACAATCTTGAAATGATGAGGGTTTCGATCAGAAACAGGGAAGAAAAATTAATTATGAGGGTATTGAAAGAGGTTTCCCAGAGGCTGTGAGATCTGCATTCTGGGAGGTTTGCAAGACCTGGTTAAAGCTCCAGGTCTCATCTCACAGTTCTCCCTGTTTTAAGCAAGAGCTTGGGCTAGGACCTGCCCAGGTCTTGTCCAGCCTCAATAAGACTTGAAATTACTAAGTAATAGGTAAACATTATTGGGGAAGTAATTTATAAGGAAGGCTCAAAATGCAGTATCTACCAAAAAAAACCCTATTCATGTATGAATAAAACCCCTATGTGTGTATTATAGTCTTAGATGTATTAAATTAACAAACTAAATAATTGATATTCCCATCATTTTGATCTGTGAATCAAAATAATAAATGAATACAGTGAAAGTTTAGGAGCCAAACTCCAATCTTTAGAAACCTATTATTCTTAATTTTAACATAATATGCTGAATTAAGACTCTCCACACAGTGATTTTAAATGAACTATCTGCCATGACAGTAAAATAATTGTACTGTCAGTTAAGGAGCCTGAAAAGAAGTGACTGATTTTAAACTTTGTGTCTCTCCAGTCAACCATAATCCATCTCAATTTAATACAAGATCAAGGAAGGAAAACCATATTGTAAGTTAAATTGATACACAACAGCCATCATGAAATGGTGATCTTTGCAGTAAACAACATGTTCACTTACACCCCTAAAATGTTTCATTCTCATTGTTGCTAGCCCACGGATATCATTCAGCCCAGGTTTTTGACGAAGTGATCAGGTATTAATGACTGAATGTCTATAAATCATTTTAAACTGGTGGATAGTTGGATCTGTTGGGGTAAATGCAAGTTACGAATCCAAAGAAAAATATTTACTATGTTATCATTTTATATAGGCACCTGGAAGAGAGCAAGGTCAGTATTCAATAATATGATCGTAATTTATTGTCTTTCCTTTATATTCCAAAATGAAAATATTCTATCATTAATATTCTAACTGAAACAAGAGACATCCCTCAGGTATACATCTGCTGAGAATGCAGAGATTTAGAGAGACCTCAAGAGTTTCTGATGAGCAGCAGACAAAAGGAAACTTAAGTTGGCCTTAGCTACAGCTGTTTGGGGAACCAGGGTATCATATTTGTCCTCAGCAAATGTCTTATGGTTTTGTGGAAAATAAGAGTCTTAGTGTCTAAAAAACCCAAAAGGATATCCAAAAGAGATCTCCACAGAGCACATCACCCTTCTGTCAATCTTACTGTTCTACCATTATTTGAGGGTGAAAATTTTGAAATAAAGTTTTTTAAAAGCTTTAGGCTTTTAAAGCTAAAAAAAATTTTTAAAAATTGGAAACCTCCAATGTTTTAAAAACATGTCAATTCTTTAGATGTACAAACAGCTTTGAAAAAAACAGCTCAAACCACTCACTGTGTCCATGTGCAGAAAGGTCCATGATAAATAACATTACTCCAACATACTTTGAAGATAGATACAGGTTACATGGCTTTCATGGTGTTTACACTTTGTGTTAAAAAGTTCATCATTTCCTCTGGCTTTTCCTTTTGTGGATTAAGGCACCATTTCCTCATTTTCAGCAAGAAATAGAATCAACTGCATTAATACATTCAATGCCTATCCTGTCCTATAAAAAGGATTTATGAACTCTCCACATACTTCTTGTTCAACACTCTACATTATTTACTATTATGTGAAGCCATATTTGGCATCAGCAAACCCTGTAATGTCCCCCATGTAACATTCAGTACTAATCCAAATGTTTCCCACTGAAATCATTAGCTGACTCATTCAAGCCAGACTGATTACAGCCCTTTAAGGTTTTCTATTGAACTGCCTCACCCTCATGTATGAATTTACTTATTTGTTTCACAGTAGTTGCTAGATGCTGTCAGTTAGAAAAGAGGAAATACTAAGTTCTTATCCTTTTTACTAACAGTTGCAAGTTTGAAGAAAAAACCTGAAGTACCTTTTCAAGCACAAAAGCATCCTCCTGAAGCCAGGTAGGAATGGAAGAATTTTATGACTTTGTACTGGATGCTTCAAGAACTAAACATTTTGCCCTAGAAAATTGTACTTCACTATGCAATAACAGCAAAATGATACCACTTTTTGATGCCATGCAGTGATATGTTTTACCCTGATGTATGACAAGAACCATCTTTGGGAATTGCTTTCAATCTATTGTAATTGCACAGCCAATTTTTATCTTTAATAGCATGCTGCTGTATTACATTTCTCCTGCTATTTCTGTAATAGGGTGTTAAATATATTGTATAAAGAAGTTCTGCTATCTCCATCCTCAGCATTTCCTCTCCCCCTCATTTTCTATTTTTATTTACAAAGGATACACACCTGGCTTTCCAAATGCTGATTATTCTCCCACAGAAAACTTCCATAGTTAGACCTATTTTGTTTCTCTAATCTATACAAATCTTTCCTTTCTAAATATCTGTAACCTTTTTTCTACTGAAATATGCAACAAAACCCAAAAATATAGGAGACAGCATAGGAAGTATATGAATGATTTAACATCCTTCCTAGACAAATACAGAATCTCTCATGCAATGTTGTTTACAATAATGGCATTTGTCCGGGACAATATTATTGTATGGAGTAAATATGACCATATTTGTTACCCCTAGTATTCTCTTTCTTCTTATGCTTCTGTTATGAGAAGTTATTTGGTCAATATTCCTCCAGTACACAAAAAAGTACTAACTGGCCACTCAGGAGCAGTCTAGCAAAAAAGGCAGGGAAAAACTGCTGCTCCCTGGGTCTTCCTATAGAGGCACTGGGAACATCAGCTGAAATTAGCAGTGAACAAAAGCAAACTGTCTTTACTACACATGCAGTTAAAAGATGGGACCCTTATGGAGACTTAAAAATCCTAAACTCTATGCAACTTAAAAACTGGCTCATGAAAATAAGGGAAATCTGTCAAAATACACTAAATACAAAATTACCACCCAAAACCCGGGAAGGCCCAAAGCTGCCATTGGTAAGAGAAAGGAGTATTCTGGGGAAGCACAGCTATGCATTGCTCTCTTAATTTGACTCTTACACTGCCACTATAAGAAATATTTTTCTGACATTACTTTCATTCATTGATTTTTCCTAGCCCTCAATGTACACGGAGCTCTAAAAACATTTGCAGATCAGGTAAGAACCAGAGATCGCTTTGAAAGCCAAACTAAACATGGAAAAATAAGAGGAAGAAACAGATTCAGGTTGCTATGCTTACATGTCCGCACTGATGATTTCCAATGCACTTCCTACCATCCTTGACTACATAGCATACTTACTCTCCTGTAACTGCGTGTGCAAACGCCCTTTTTTATCAAAAATCAAACCCCTAAGCTGTGCCAAGAACCTATGAGTGCATAACACGCACTTACGGTAAAAGCAAATACCACCAGGAAGAACATATGGACTGCATTATTTGTTCAGATCAAGTAGGATTCAAATTCACTTTGGTCGCTGCCAGGCTAACCAAGCCTACCACCCCCAGCTTTGCTTCACAGGGCCCAGCTCCCTGATTCTGGTATGGGCTCCCTCCCAGAGCTGCTTCCTTCTTGTGCTGGGGTGCAAATCCACACCCTCTCCTCTGGACACCTACTAAAAACCCTTCTTTACATATTCCGTAAATCTCATCTAGGTCTCTGTTTGCTGCTGCCACTTCAGACACTTCCTACCATCCTTACCAGGGCTTTTGCTCCTTTAGGCTCTCTGGGACAGCAGAGTATCCTTTTTCCTCTGTCAGTTCCTCCTGAAGCAACAGGGAGAGAACAAATAAGAGTAGCCTTTCTCCTGCTACCCTATAATTGCCTTTAAAGTCTATATTTGGCTTAAAAAAATATTGTAAGAACAAATATTAATTTTATTAAATCTTATTTGTTGACAAGGTGTTGTTAGCTCCATCTCAGCCAGACTTGACACATAAGCATTGCAAGAGAATTTTAAATTTACCCTTCTTGCCCCGCACCTTAACACAAACCAGGGGAAAAAAAATCCACAAAAAATACACAGCATAGGTCCACAAAGTAGTTGTGGTCCTAGCAGTGGGGTCTCTTTAAAAAAAAATCCTGGGGATGCCAGCCACTAAAAATGCAATGCAAACAAAAATTCTAAAATCACGATCAATAAGCTGAACAGTAAGAATATGTCACATTTTGACAAGTCAAAGTGACTGCAGAAACAAAAGGTTGATGTCTGGTGCCAGGCACTCTGAACAGTGGTTTCATTAGGGAACACACTGACTGCCTGCTCAAGATCATGGCTCTTTGTCTACTGCTATCAGTGGATCTTGTTTTAAAAACAAAAGTAATGCAGTTATAAATCAGAACATGGTACAAATATGAATGGAACAGTGAAAGGCAGTGAAAGCCGCTTCCCCTCTGTAAAAGAGTCTTCCTAGTAAAATTTAATATTGTCATATGCTACACACCAGCATAACAATAATAAACTGATAAAGCATGAACAGATAAAGCACAATGAAATACCACCCTGAAAAACAGCACTGTCTCTGGTGACAGTAACCAAAGGAAAAGATGGAAGCCATTGATAAACACATTTTTCTCATTTACTTTTAAAATGGACACTGGATCATTTCTCACACCAGCATTGCATGAAAAACACAAAACTGTTGTCTGTTATACAACAGAATATGGTGTTTTTTATCTTCAATTAACAATTTTTCCCCATGTCACATATCTGAAAATTACATTTGATCTTTACATTGAAAGGAAGCCCTTGCTTTTCTGAGGCTGTTTCTGCATCCTCAGAGTCAGCCCAAGCCTCCTGTATTACATGATTTGTTGTGTTCCTGACCCAACCCCTGCACTTCCTTAGCTCCACAGAGACCTGGGTAGCTGGGTCTAGCTTGTAAAGACAGAGAATCACATTTGCTTTGGGAGAAGGATTTCGGCTACTCCAGGCTCCTGTGCCAGCAGCACTGCATGGAGCAGGCACACGCAGCCAAAGACCAACAGCTTGTCCTCAATGTGAGAGCAGCCTCACCCCTTGGTCCTGAATTTGTTAACTCAAACAAGTCACAGAAAAAACTGAAATTCATCAGCATGGCAGAACTTCTGAATCATTTGAGGTTTTAATAGCTTGGCAGAAACAATGCTAGCTGGCAATGGAATAATGAGAGGCTTTTATATGATCCAACGTAATAGCAACCGGGATCCAACACAAATAAAAGGGACTCAAAAGGTGAAAGTAGAACAGAATGAACCATTATCCTTGTCCCATATTTAGTATTTTATTTAGCATTTTCTGTTTTATTAACAGTTTATTATTTTGCTATGGCCACAATAGCCTGTCAGATGGAAGTCAATTAAAAACCATGAGGAATTTTATGTGTTAAATCTCTAGGGGCATTAATCTGAAATCACTGATGCTGCATTAGCATAAGACCACTCTTAACAGACAACTCTAAATTTTAAAGGTTAATACCACAATACTCTAAATTAAAAGTACTATTCTCAAAATTACTACGTAAAACATAGTGTAAAATTAAATTATAGCTTTTAAGAATGCAACCTTTTTCCTTCTGAATTTACTTTTACAGGTTCCACATTAAGCGTAGATAATTTTACAGTGAAGAAGCCACCACCTCCTACATCATATGCAGCATGCAAAAATAAATCAAAACACTTCCTCGTAGAAGAGGAAATGCAATCTCTTACCAAACCCACTGAAAAGGTAAAGACCAGCTTTGCTACATAAAAATACAAGTTTTTAGGAAACAGGATTAACACTGTATGGCACCACCCCTGACCCCCCTATGAAAGCTATGGGTGTCCAGCAGTATTGAGAATGTCTAATGTGAGCTCCTGAAACCATGGATGAGAATGTAAATGTATAATTTGATTAACAACTCCTAACTGGACTTCTCAATATAGATGCATTACCATTATATACTGGGCTGCATGTGCTTTCAAAGCAGATTAGATACAATCTGGTTTTTCTTCTGCTTGCTGTTAATTTCTATACACTGATTATGCTGTCTTAAAATTAAGGATTTAAACAAATGTGAGTGGTACGTTGGAGAATATGATCGCCATAAAGCAGAGAAGATATTGTTACAGAAAAACACTGTAAGTACCATTTATCTCAAAACATGGGGTGTAAACTCCTGGGGGAAAACTTCTGTAAGCTGTCCACAATGGCTTACAAGTTTTGGTGTGAACTAACCATACAATCCATAATTTAAATCTGTGTCATTCAGGATGAGACATTCTTGGTTAGAGATTGTTCAAAGAAATCAAAGGCTGAACCATACGTTTTGGTTGTTTATTATGGAAGAAGAGTATACAACATTAAAGTACGGTTTCTGGAAGAAAGCCAACAATATGCCTTGGGAACAGGGCTCAGAGGAGAGTGTGTAAGTAAAATCCCATCTGCTGTTGCAGCCTATGGCTTTTATGTTAGACTTCACAAGTTCTTAATACTAAATATTAATTACAAACACACCAACAAAACAAACTTGCTGTTTCATTACAGTTTCTTTTACAATACCCTCATTTTAAGTATGTCTCAAATTTCAAGCAGCTTCAATATAATTTAATACCAAATTTTGCATACCATGCTCAAATTCAGATTTTAATCAATTTAAAAATCTACGAAGTACTTACAATACTTCTATCTACTGTAAGTAACACCTGTAAAGTAAAAAGGAAAGAGATGTTCTGCCTTTTCTGGCATACATATTATTTTAGCATATTTTTAAACTTGTGCTAATTTAAGCAGGCATTTTCAAATATATACAGCTCCACATATCTGACAGCAGGACCTGGTGCCATGAAGCAATAGGATAACAGTTGTCATGGATATTCAGAAGCAATTAAATCATGTGGGTCCCTAGCAATCAGTCTTTCAGATATGGTAAATTTCAATTAGAAAATCCCTTTAGACAAGGAATGCTTCTTTACATAATTAAATTCAATTATAGTCATGATAAAAGTCTAATTCTTATTCTACATATATGGTTAAATGATAAACACTGTATCTGCAAGTCTTTCACACAAGGAAAAAAAACATTAAAACTTAGTCATCTCTATAAAAATATGATACTTGCAAAACAAAACAAACAAAAAAACCAAACCAAACCAAAAGAACCAAACATAAAAAAATTTTAAAAGACAAACACAATGTAAAATTTAAAGAATGCTCAGCTGCAGAGCAAAAAAGCAACGCAACCTATGGGTTATTAGCTATGTAAATCACTGACACAAATCCAGCTCAGGTGAAGCAGCAAAAACTCTGTAGCTGAATCTTCAATTATATCCTTTTCATGCATGTCAATACTTTTCAGAACTTACCTTTGTATAGACAGACTTTAAAAAGCCTGAAATCACAAATCACCTGAGCTGATTTAAGGCATTTGGTGGGTCCAAAATTTGTATTTGCATTTTTATTAGAAAAAATGGGATAGGATTCATAAGCTTTCACAAGAGGAACAAGGTTTACTGGCAAGTTGTTCTTCAGGGGCATCTGTTTAATGACAAAGAGGGGAAAAATTCCTTCATTATGCAAGCAGAGTGAAACAGTTTGGAAGCTGAATGGTTGCAGGAATCAGGAACTGTACTGCATCATCCTTGTGTTTCTGTAGTGACCACCAGTATTCTGTAAAGCAATGGCTGCATTTCTGAACTGAAACTCCCAGACGATTTCCTGGAATTTTAGGACTTAGGAGAAAGCAAGTTTAGTTTTCCATGGTTCTGACATTGTTTAGTCTTCCTGTAATGGCTCTAATACAAACAGGCCCAGAACAGAAACATTGACAGAAATAAGGCACGCTACAGCATCATGTAGTATATGTGTATTCTCAATAGAGAATAAAGACACAGAACTAAATTTTCATTAGGTTAACAGCTTTAACAATTAAGGTAACTGGAAAATTACTTGAACAGTACATGAACAATTTTTACTGAACTAAAAGGAAGGAGAACACAATCCCTCCCATCTCAGGAAATACCAAAATATATGACTTTGTTGTTTGTTCCAACTTCTGCACAGACAGTACATATCTTAAACAGTGGGTCTGGACTGACTTGTCAAATTGCAAAGTACAACTCCAAAATAAAGATTCCAAGCATCTAGTTAACAACACACAGAACATACAAGACTTGGCTCTACCAGGCCAAATCTGTAATCATGACTGCCTACCTTATGCCTTCTTCTTTGAGGATTTTTTCTCTTTAACTCAAATCTTCCCCTGGATCAAGCACAACAGAAAAAAAATCAGAATTGCTTTGCTGGTCAACTAAAAGTTGTGCCAGAGAATCACAGACATGGCAATCTTCCACTCCTATGTATTATTCTCATCAGTGGACACAAAAATAGAAGAGGGCACAAAGCACATGCACAGTAATGAACAATCAGTGACACCAGCATTGCTCAGAAGAGCTTCTTCCATCTCAGGCAGTCTCATATGGTTCCCCAAAAAGGCTCTTTCTTGAAAACTCTCACCTCCATTTTTGCAGGTCATCTAAGGCTTTTTTTTCCAAAGAAAGTGAAAACACTTTGTAAGGCTGTGAATTACAGAAAATTGCTGCCTGTAATTTTTTAGTACCCATTAAAAAGCTTTCTAGAGCACTCTGCTTTGCCCCTCTGCAGGGATACCCTTTGTTACACCACATTTTGCAGTGCAGACAGACCTAGCTGCTCTATCTAGATTAGATGAATATTCCCTCTTCACCAGCCAATGAGAAAGAAAACTAAATACCAATGAACATGTGCAGACCTATTACATTATTCCACAGTTGGTGATCTAATTCAGAGGTTTGGTCTTAACAGATTTTATGCAGTGTGTTTTCACTTTTGAATTAGGTTAATCTATTTTCATCCATCCATATTTTTCCTCACACATAAATATAATTATTCAAAGCTTTCCGTATCTTATTGCAACTTCCGAATTTTACTATACAGCCTTTAAGTTGTTAACATATTGTATAACCAAATGAGATTTTAAATTAACAGTTATTTTTTAAAATGTATTTCATTTAACTCTCATGAGTGCCTTTATCATTAGTTCCCATGTAGCTCTGTAAGGTCATAAGGGAAAAAAGGGGTTGATCATCAGATTTTTATAGTAAAAGTAACTCAAGTTCCATACAGTTAAATTAGTATCAAACTCTAGTATAATAAATAGAAGGGTAAAAAAAGAAAATCACTTAACTCTCTTAGTGGGGCTACATCTTTTGCTACCTATTTAACCACAGATGTTCACACCTACGTACATATTTAATATGCTATATTGAGCTTTCTAAAGGCCAAGTTACATAAAGCTATAAAGATCAGATCCCCAAATGATGCATACATGGAATTTAGGAATTTACATTCAAAACTGAGCACCCTTTACTTGGCTGGTGCCTTCCTCTACTCCAGACAATTTCACTATTTAAGATCCAGAGATCCCTGTAACACTGGCTTTTTTCATCTGCATAGTTCTTTTAAAAATTACGAAATACAAACTTTGCTCATATTTAAAGCTGATCATGACACGAAATTTACATATTTTTCTCATCTCCTTTTCAAAACTATCTGCCACACACAAAATACATGGTTTTAGCATGTCCGTAGCATCAGTCTCAACTCCCATCGCAGTGAAAAATACATTAAAATGAAAGGCAGAAGTAGGCATCTCTTCAGCTCGGTGCCTGCTTTACACAGAATAAAGAGCAGAGCCTGATGTGTATATCTGCATCTCCCTGTTCCAGCCACAGATACTTTCTCCATCCTCACCACTGCATTTGCAGATACCTTTCATATTCAAACTGTAAGTCACAGCAGTCACACCATTTCACTCCATTCATTCCCATGTGAGCCAAAAGGATTAGCTGCACCCACCTTCAGCAGCCACCAAACTGGCCTGGCCCATCCAAGCAGATTAGGGAGCACTTCCACAATGCCCCCCAGTGACAGTGTTATGTCAACAGTTACTGCCAGGAAAAGTGGCACAGCAAACAGCCAGTACCTTCAGCTGAGAGAGGTTTACAAGATAAGCATCTTGTCCACAGCTTAAATGGCAGCTCAGGGATGAAAGGTCTCATCCAGGATGTGCAGCATAGCCCAGTTATACCACCTCCCCAACACAATTCAGAACTACACCTTCCACAAGCAACCTTTGAGACCCTATTCCCATTTCCCCAGAAGAGACTGGAGACCTGCAGAGATAGGCTGAGTCTCTTCACACAGTGAAGGGAAACAAATCAAAGACTGATTTTTCTTCATCTTTATGTCTTTAGGTGTCTTTATACCAAACAAAATGTGGAGTTCCATTAAAAGAGCTGAGAACATAAAATTCTGAGATATTTTTCACCCATTACCAAAGAGCTAGAAAAATGAACAATGTGGCATTAACCTAGTGAAGCCTAATAAATTTCCAAAGCAGATGAACAATTATAGTAGACCTTTTGACCTTTAGACCTTTATAGTAGACCTTCCCAACCAGCAGAAAACATTTAAAAACAGAAAAAGAACTGGTGCTGGAAGAACTAATTTAGAATAAAAAAGTAAGGATTACTTTCAATAGGCATGAAATACAGAACCTCAGTTTTCAGTAGCAGTAGTGACTTTGAACATAAGCAAAGACAAAACAGCAAAGTAAAACAAATGCATATGAGTAAAAATTATCAAAACAAAACTTGAAAAAATTTCCATTCTGGCTTTGAGATCAAACAATTTTCATCTTAATACAGGAATAGTTTCACCAAATCATATCCTTAATCAGATTCTGTTGTTATAAACTAGGTGTGAATCAGGTGGGGGTGAGAGACACTACCATGAGACACCACCAAGTGTACAATGAAGAGCCACACTTACAGTAAATGTTATATAAATAGGTGATAAGTATTAATGTCAAAGTAAGCTTTCATTACTTACATTGTGTGCAGTTCTGGTGGTTTAATACCAATGAGTACAAAGACTAGCTCAAGAGGAAAACAGATATGACGAGAGCTTTGTGGTGTGATGAGAGCTTAGAAGGTATACACAAGGAAGTGTGTAAGAACTACTTAAACTGAAGGACTGCTAATCATTGGAATGGGATTCTTCCACTAAGGCAGATGAAAATAAACACTTTGTGTAGCTTTCTCTTGCTGTTTGATCAGGTCAACAACCTTGAACCAGACCTTTATAACTTTGGGAGTTGCCTGGAGAATGTAATTTTTTTGGGCGTGAGAGAACAAGATGCTTCTTGTTCCACATTTCAACAGGAAGCAACTGTCTCAATAAACTGAATGGGAAAACAAAGCATACATTTAATAAGATACATTGAAATTTGCAGTGTAAAATACCATGTACTGCTAATTAGGTGTAACTTGTGGCAGGAAAAAAACTAGTAACAATTTATAGTTGCTTCATCATTTCAGTATCTATCATCACATCTGGCATCACAACCTTTTATAGGTGATACTGCATTATCAGGGCTTAGACATGCTCCCTTTTTGCCCTAAGGAGCTAGTTGCTTTTTCCTGCACATGACAGAGACACAAAAAAGAAATATGAGGATCAAAATACAGTGCTTTTCCTTTTAGAATTGCTTTCATCTAATCATAATTCCATGCAAAGTGTTACCTTTTTTTAATATTGTCATTTGCAAATCCTTTAATGTTATAGATTAAACCATCTAGCAATTTCACTTTCAGTCACTGATTACTATCTTCTCCCCCCAGAAATTTAATTCCGTGGAAGAGATCATTGACTTCTACAAATCCGTTCCAATAACGCTCATTGACGGAAAGGATCAGTCAGGAAACCACAGAGAACAATGCTACCTCACACATCCATTCAAGTCATGCTGACCCTTTCTGCCTCACTGTCGCTGATTCATCCATACAGATATAAATAGAACACTTCTTGAAACGTCCCAAAAATCAGATTCGCCTCTTGAGCAAGGAGCTCCCACTAATATAATGAAGAATTACAGATCTACTCCATTTTTTGATTGTTGCATTTTCACTCTGAGGATACAAGTAAAGAATATGTCAACATATTCATTCACAGGAAGGTGTTGAGACCGACTCCTGATACCTTAACAATGACTGACCAATTTGCTTATCTTGCACTCTATCTTCTAACTTCAAATGAAAATAAAATTTGCCCTTGCTTACTTAAATGTCACTTAAACTCTGCTAAGTAGCAAAACCTAAGAAAGTATACCACAGTCATTAAATAAATATTCTTGCTTTTAAAAATACACATGAAATACTGTGTGCCAGAGTTCTCACTGTCTAACAATTTCATGTGGTGTGCATATGTTTGCTCAACAACAAGCTGTGCTCAGCTGCCACTGAAGTTAGTTAGTGTCAGTTGATGCTTATAGACACTGGAGATTTAAAACTAGCTGTAATTATGTAAATTCTATTATTCAATGAGCACTTACTCTTCAGCTTAAGTAGCAGATACTTGTATGCCATACCTGAGCCTTCAAACACTTACATAGTAGGACCATTATGCAAACAGTCATTTTGAATTCATACCATATGCAAATGTAGAGATAAAAATCTGAAGTAGAAAGAGTAGATGTACTTCAAAACCAGCAAGAAAACATGCCCTAGTGTGTATGAGCAAAGAACATGAGAATGTGATTATTTTTCCAGAAAAAAAATACAGAAATATTTATTCATACAATTTGAGTTTTGGAAGCCTAGCTAAATTCTCTATGTATATGAAGGCAAACTACAATTCCACATGTACATGAAGGGATTTTTCTGCACAGCATCGATAACCTTCCTAACCACACTCAGAAGTTTGACTAGGTTATTGCAATATACCAGAAAAGGTATATTACAATAACCTAATTACTTTAGAACCTCAGTTACTTTATCCTTACAGAACAGGAACAAGAACAAAACCACTCAAGCCCAAAACCACAACATTCCAATCCAATTTATGACGTACTATGTAGTGGTACAAACTAGCTCTAAAAAAATTCAGCAGCTGATTGTTACTTTCTTTCAACCTTTTTATTTCTCAGTGCTGAGTCAAAAGGGAAGAAAACATCCGCTGTAAATAATTTCTCTCAAACTGATGACACTATTAAACTTGAAGGAAATTATTCTGACTTAATTTTATCTAATAAAAGTAACAAAACAGAAGCTGCTAAAATAGAGTTTAGCAGAGTTCATAACAAAAAGCATGACATAATCTGCTTTAAGAATTTCATAACCACAATACAATTTAACTTACAAAAGGTTTTCATGTTGAAACAAAAAAAATTTAAATTAAAAACTATAAAAACCCCAAGGCTTAACAATTTAGGTAACAGATTATGGCAGTGACGTACAGAGCTTTGCAGATGTTTACTAAAGTAAACAGTAAACTTGCTTACAGAAGACAAGCATTACTAGTATACTTAAAACATCCAGAATCCACAAAGCTGAGCAGCAACACTTTCTCCCTTTCCCCCAGTACAGCTTTCATGAGCAATGTTCTGATTTTGCCAGTGACAACTCTTACAAAGCAAATTCAAAACTATTTATTTGGTAGCTTCTACAGAAACAAAATTAATTCAGCCAGTAACCTGGATTGAAGGAATTAAAACAAATGAGGAATGCTAACCATGGGGGTTTTTGTGTTAACCATTTCAGTATTCATTTTATACGTTATGCTATAATTTTAAAATGGAAACTATCTTCACCATTGAAAATGCAAATAGCACTGTTAGGTTTGGCATCAAAGCATACGAAGTGGGGGAAAAAAACCCTCTAGTGTACCCATCTAAAAAAATATAATTCCATTTGAATACAAAATGAGAACTGTCATTTCCTTATTATTGACAAAACAGGAAAAACAAAGTTTGTTCTGTGGAGCAGTTTAGTCTGATACAAATGATACAAAAATTTTCCATGTGTACACGACAAAAAGATCTGACTTAAAGCACCAGCTATCGGAAGGATTTTAACTGTATTGCAAAATTATGGGAAAGCAATAAGTGGTTTTGAAAGTAAACCTCAGTCAGATGGAGTTTTAAAATATTTACATTCTAATGTAGATATGATAAATATTTTATCAAAACAATGTATAATCTGCTGGAGTATATAAAAAAATATTCCCAGCTAAACTGTTTACAAAAATGCACCATCAGTGAAAAGAGTTAGGGACTACCAGTTTACCAGAGAAGTCCCAGTTCAAACATAGAACACACATCCAGCATTAGAGTCAGTATTGATTTTCATACTTCTAAAACTGTAACACATTATTTTAATTGTAAGTATGTGCTTCCATATACTTCATTCTATATGACTCTAAAATGATTTAAAATTGACAAGATGAAGAGAAACATCCACAACTCACACAGAGAAACAGTAACTTCAGTGTCATCCATCCCTCTTTTTTACTAAAAAGCTGTAATTTGGCCCTGATTTAGAGAAGTGTTTAAGCAACTGAGCAATGTTTACACTGCACTGAAGTCAGTACGCATCAGACATAATCTGTAACTAGGCACATGCTTGTATGAATTTGAGGCCTACAAAAAATAAATTGCAACAACATCTAAATTCTTAAATATGATGAAAGATTGCACTGAAAATCTGGTTCAACACTGTCAATGTAAAAGCTGTGCAACGTGGCTTTTCAGTTTGAAAAGTCTTCAACAAGTTCCCTAGTAAAAAGGCTCACCAACTAGAGTTCTAACCAAATACTGAGTCTGTAAATGCTTCTATCACACACAAGGTGGTACAGAGTTTATGTTTGGCTAATACTATTTTAGAACAGCCTTGAGGCCATAAAGAAGCACTTTCCACTATCAGCCCAAGCCTGAAAGTATCTCTGGCTTGATGGCACAGAATCCTGACAGTGTTCTGCTCCCTCGCATCTACACAATACAGTCTAGGTAAAGACTCAGTACTAAACAAAATTAAAAATTTTTGTGCTATCTGACCTACCAGGAGTAACTGATTCCCTAGATTTTTCATTTACACCCTTGTACCTCCTCTGAAGTCAGCAGAAGTGTTTTTATTTCACTGAAACACAGCACTTGCATTGAAATTTTACTTTTTACGCGTAGTGCTTAATTTGCCGCTAAAACCTATGACTTCCACTTGCTGTCCAGAGAGGACCAAAGGTGCATTTCCATACAGATGTGCTCGATCTCTGAAACACCATGCTGTAATAAAGCAAACTAAATTCTGTTAAATTTACAAAGATCTCATCATCTAAGGTTTTAATCCATACAGACCTAGCACAAACCACGTACAGCACAGTATCCTAAGGTAACTAGAAAGATGTTTGCATAGCAAATCTTCTTTAAATTTCTCCTATGGAACAGATGAAGCTGACCTCCAACACAAATTTCAATCACAAGAGTGCAAAGTGGTGCTTAATCCTCACTGTCAGCTTCTCTATCTCTCTGTACCTCTACTCTCTTCTTTATTTTGCTAACAGCAGAGGACTTTTGGCAAAATAAAGCAGTTATTTCCATCCTCCATTTCAAGCAAGTTAGTGTCACTCATTAAAAGCAAGAGAGGAAACCTCCCCTGGGCTCTCACTTAACGTTTTCTTGCTTGAAGAGAAAGAACATCCCAACCCTTGGTTGCCTCTATTAAGTGTCTCTGTCCATGACTTATCCATTCTTCTTGGTCCATATATACTCTCCCACAAAACCAACACTTAAAGAGACACCGAAGTGCTTCAGCTGGTGAACTTTCCACCACTTGGTAGTTGTTTTTGTGTGTCTTTTTTAGCTTCATTTTTAGCATACTCCGCTTTTTTGCTTGGTTTCCTGTCTCAGCATTCTGAAGAGTAAGACGCTTCCGATAACGTTTGACACCAAGACAACTGCTTGTCCTTTCTGACAGAACTACTTTCAGGACTTGACCTTTATACTTGTTGATAGTCTTCATGACATTAATTATCTCTGGTGAATCAACATCAGGATGGTTTAGTACCACAACTGGCTGATTACGACGAGGGCATTTTATCAACTGATTCATTTTCAGAGGAAGAAGTCGAAGACGTCTTGCTGTCAACAGGTAAGACATATCAGAACTTGAAGTGGTTTCCAACTGAGCTCTTGTTTTCCTCTTAGGAAGTTCTCTGAAGCTTGTTTGTCTTGCCTTATTTTTGGGACTTTTTGAATAGGGCTTGCTTTGCTTGCTCACATCACTGCTTTTCTGAAATGGTACACCAGTTTGCTTGCTGTTATTTTTAGCACTTGCCTCTCGCTTTGGTCTTTGCCTGAGTGATATAGTTTGGGACTCAGCACCTGGTTTGCTCTGATTAGGCAAACATGGGAAATTGCTGCTGAGTGTCTCAGAAACACTGACGGGGACCGGGCGAGGCAGAAACATTTCATTGCGATGCACAGGAGCTGATGTTTCGCTCCTGTTTTCTATTCCGTATGAGCTTTGACTACCTGTAGCATTCAGCACTCTCAGCATCGTCCCTTTGGGGATAAACACTGGGGTAGCAACATGGGAATTTTTAGTTACCCTATTTTTAGAAGTTCTTGCAAATGTAAAGAGCTGATCTTCACTGTGTTCTTCACTACTAATCACACTTCTTCCACCATGTGCTTCAGACAAAGTCACAGGTTGTTCCACTTCAGTGGCACAAACAGCTCCCTCACAGCTTGCTGAACTTTCTGGAGGCAAAAGCGACTTTTTACTAGAAGCCTGACATCTCAAGGGCACAGATTTCATGTTAGGTTCAGCAGCAGACATGAGCTGAGCAATCTTTCTACACAGCAATGTTGCTGATTTCTTCTTGCGTGTTGTGTCATCCCATCTGACATCCTCTGGAACATTTTCAGTCCCAGAGCTAAGAGAAAATACAGATGAAATAACAGGTCCTTCAAAAGGACTGCCTTTATTTTCCATCTTCTGTAGTTCAAGTGATTCCAGAAGATGACTACTCTTTTGGCTTATGGCTTCAGTTCTCTTTATTTTGCTCAAACCAGATGGTATATCCTCAAAAGCTGGAGTTTTAGTAACATGTAAGTTTTTTCCTGCTTCAGAAGATGTAATAGATTTTTTATCAAAACCCTTTCCAGCTATATGTGCTTCGGTAGAGCTGAGTGGTAGACTCCTATGTTCCTTGTCAACTCTCTTCACAGACAATGCATTCTTTTCTTTATGGACAGCAGAAAAATTCTTGCCCTCCTGAGCAGCTTCTACTGAAACATTCTTGGAACTTTTACCTTCGGAAACGGAAGCGTATTTTGGACAGTATGTATCTTCACCTTCTTCATAACAGAACAGATCACTATGCAAACTATTTTTTCCATCTACTTTCCCCCTTGAGGATTTAAGATCACTTTTTTTTCCAGTACTGTTCATCACCAGAGATGGAGAACAAAGTTCTATAACACCTGAATGGGCATCACTACCTTTCACCAAATGAAAGCATAATTTTGATGTATCTTCCCTCTGTAGAGATACAGAACTATAGCCTGAGAGCTGAGAATCAGAAGAACAAAAACATTCAGAATCGTTGTCATAGGTACTATCCATATTAAGCTGGTTACTAACACTGGATAATTTGTTTACATTCACTTCCATAGTTAGTAACTCATTTGGACACACAGATGTTTTCTTTACTTCTGCAGATTGTTCTATAGCTTGATTCTCAAGTTCCTCTTCTGCACAGTTCACAGGTTTGTAAGTTGCTTCTTTCATAGGAATTAGTTTAAGAACCAGCTGCTGTGCTCCATTCACTATTTTCAGCTCTACTATCTGAGCTAAACAGTTGGAAGGAACTACAAGTTCAGATGGTGCAATTACTGTTAAAGGCATCCCAGGTTGTAAAGGCTCTGTTTTTGGAGAATAAACCTCAACCTCCACACTTTGATTCTCACATACACTCATTTCAGATGGCTCCAATATTGTCTTATCCTGGACCGATGATGTGTTTATGCTACATTCTACATTTTGAGATGAGCAGACTGTTTTAGTTGCTTTACTTGGAACCTCACAAACCATATTTGAAGACAAATTTGAAAGTTCATTTTGGAAAGGAATTTTATTGTATTTTTGCTTTTTACATAAAGTGCTTTGACTCTGCTTCTTTTGCTTGTGGTTCATGAGAGTATTTGACAGCCGTTTTCTGGGTGTTTCATGTACTCTTCTCGTATGTTTAACAATATAGTCATGTCTAACAGCACCATATTCACAGTACTCACACTGATACGGAAAGGTTCCAGTGTGCTTCACCAAATGTCTCTGGAATTCTCCTTTGGTGTAGGATACATAACTACAGTGGGAACAAAGAAATTTAATTTCTTCATGTTGCCCTACATGCTTTTTATACTGTAAAGGATCCTTTGTTGAAAATCTGCATTTATCACAGTAGTATTTGCCTGGCAGAAAATTTTTTACTTTAAACGTTTTCTGGGTTTTACTTGGGGTTTTTCTTTCATGTTTTTCATAGTCTGCATCATTGGCACCCTCAGGAACAAAATCAAAAGCTGGTGGTTTAATATGACTGCACTTCTTGCAGATGAAATTTCTGTCTTCAGTCCACTCAAGCTTCTTATGTTTCTCTATATCTTGCATTGAAATTTTCTGAACATTTCTGCACTTTACACAGCTTATCAGTGACAACTTATTGTTCTCAGCCTCAGTTCCTTGGTAACAGCAGTTTTGATCATCTGCCCCTTTTGACAGATTTGTTTTATCATCAGATTGCTTTGGGGATGTAGTTAAAGAATTATTTTTATCATTAATTTGGCCAGAGTACAATCTTGGTAAAATTTCCCTCATTTTTTTCAACTGCATTTCAAATGAAGCAACTCTGCACCATCTTCATTAAACACAACAGCAACAGACAGACTGTTTTCTTGGTATTAGTCCTGTGTATATTTCTTATGAATCAATCATTGAGGCAACCTATCTGCAGAATATAAGCTTTGGAAGAAATGATGTTCAAGCAACTGCATCCATACTATACTCCATGTTCTTAGTCGATCAGCTTGCAGCACTAAAGAATAAAAAGCAGAACATTAAGTCAATTAAGATTCAATGATCACTGAAATACAATGAACTAATAATTGAACTATTAGTGGACTACAGCTGAATTAGAGAGTGCAAGTCTACTGTCAATATACCACTGATTGTATTCTGCATACACAACCAATAACTCTAAAACATACCAAATCAAATAATCCTTTAACATGTGCTCTCATTCAAAACATTCCCAAATTCATATAATTACCTGCTACGCATCAAAACCTGAAGAGTTTATGGTATTTCTCCCATGTCATGAAAATTTTTACACTTAAGAAACACTTAAGAATTTGTAAGCCAAACAAGATACTTGATCAACAGAACTGAGCAGCAGAGTATGATTTCAGTTCATACATATATTTGTAAGCCAAACAAGATACTTGATAACAGAACTGAGCAGCAGAGTATGATTTCAGTTCATACATAGCCCTCAACTCAGGATAAGTTATCATGAAACGTGCAAGTTCCATTCATATGTGAATAGCAGGGAAAGAGAATGTGACTCCGATGGTTATTAGAAACACAGAACTATTAGTTTGTTTTTAAATAAAAGAATTTTTAAGCTAGCATGGAAATTCCTGACATACAAAAGGAAGTTCTTTTTTAATCAGTGCCAATGTTTCAGATACAAACAGTCTTAAACACTAATTCATAACAAGATGTGATTTATGCTTCACCTGTTCTCAAAGCAATGAAGTCAAAACAATCTGTGGCTGCAAAATTAATTACTTTTTCTTCTATTAATATTACAGTGTAATCACTTCTATATATGTGGACAAGCATATAAATAATTCACTTCATCCTAATAAAACAGAACGTCAATCAAGCAAAATAAACAAAGCAACATAAGGCAGAGGGAGATCAGTAATATCACTGTAAAACACCAAATTAACACATGCAATATGTTTGGCCCACAGGTTCCAGCACTCTGTCTCTCTACTATATTTAACAGGAAGATGATCTCAGCCTTTCAGCTTTTGGCAAGACTATGAAACCACTATTATTTGGAAAATAAACAATTAAATTAGGCTTTTGAGACATACATGAAGTCCAATCAACACCTTTCTTATTCTAACATCATTAGTTATAGACATACTGTTGCACACACTTGCAATCACATACAGACTCAATTGCATGAGGTTACTTCTGTTTTCCAATACACCCCACAAAAGGCTTCTGCTTCTGAAGTCCAGATCCTCACCAAGTGTACCTACAGAGATTAGGGCGTGATTTGGACTCCAAAAGCACAGTGCTGAGTTCACTTAAGCAGCTTCCCATCACAATAATCATATGGTAATCAAGAAATTGAACTACAACACTGGAAAGACATTGAGACGCCTGAGCAAGTCCAGAGAAGGGCAACAGAGCTGGTGAAAGGTCTAGAGAGTAAATGTTACAAGGACTGGCTGAGGGAGCTGGGGGAGTCAAAAAGGGGACTCAGGGGAGACCTTACTGCTCTCTGTAACTACCTGAAAGGAGGCTGTAGTCAGGTGGGAGTCAGCCACTTCTCCCAGGTAACAAGTGACAGGAAAAGAGGAAATTGCCTCAAGTTGCAACAGAGCATGTTTAGATTGAATATTAAGAAAAAACTTTCATTGAAAGGGTTGTCAATAATTGGAACAGGTTATCTATGGAAGCGGTGCAGTTACCTCCTGGGGATGGAGTTAACATCCCTGGGGATATAAAAGATGTGTAAACTGGGCACTCAAGGATATGGTTTAGTGGTTAGCTTGGCAGTGCTGGGTTACAGGTTGGACTTGATGATCTTGTAGGTCTTTTCCAGACTAAGTAATTCTGTGATCTTCCCAGTGGCTTGACAGCTAAATATCTGATCCAAGAAGGTCTTCCAGCATCTTATGTGCTCACAACCCAGAAAGCAACCATGCATTTTGATGCACTCTGCACTGCATCAAAAGCAGCATAGCCAGCACAGTGAGGGAGGCAATTCTCCCACTCTGCTCTCATGAGACCCCACATGGACTGCAGCTGCATCCAGCTTTGGGGTCCCCAACACAAGGAAGATGTTCAGTGGACCCTCCTCTGGACCCATTCAAAGCTTATCACAGGACTGAACCACTCCTCCCATGAGGACAGGCTGAGAGAGTTGAGGTTGTTCAGCCTTAAGAGGTGGCTTCACAGAGACCTTACAACACCTTCAAGTACTGAAACAGGACTTTCAAGAAGGCTAGAAAGGGACTTTTCACAAGGGCATGCAGCGATAGGACAAGGGGGAATGGCTTCCAGCTGAAGAAAGGTAGATTTAAATTAGATATTGGGAAGAAATTCATTACTGTGAGGGTGGTGAGGCACTGGAACAGGCTGTGCAGAGAAGCTGTGGATGCCCCATTCCTGGCAGTGTTGAAGGCCAGGCTGGATGGAGCCCTGAGCAATCTGGTCTAGTGGAAAGCATTGTTTCTCATGGCAGGAGGTTGAACTAGGTCTCTTCCAACACAAACCAGTGATTCCATGATCTTCCCTGTACTCCATCAATATCCATAACTGCTCTATCAATGCTGCCCAAAATATAGGGCTCTTCAAAGTGTTCTGATGTGACCACAAACAACAGTAAAAGTAAGTCAGAAAACTGGTTAGGGACAACATAACAAGCTTTTCACTCTTAAGCAGATGGATAGGTGTACACTAAAACTCCTTACTGGGTAGTTCTAGAACTGTAGTAATCTCATCTCATTGCAATGCAGAGAGCTGTGAAAATACACACAATTTGAAAAACAAATCAATGGCAGCCTTGCAGGAAGGAGTACATGACTGCTGTATCATGATCTGGAGAATTTTCTTCAACAAATTCTAATGTGGATGACATTATGCACTCTCTTAGCCTGATTCTAAAGACTGAAAAGCAAAATGTTTGTGGTAGTTCAGATGGAACATCCTTCACCAGCTACTACCACTTTCTAGACTTAAGACTAACCTGCTTTTACACAAGTGTGGTGGTAGGCCTATGTTCAGGACATCCACTGTTTTATTTCAGGAGAAGATAATAAGAGATCCTGATAAGCTCAAGATTCAGACCAAAGACGCTTTATGCATTTCTATACAGCTTTAAGAAAGAAGTAACATGGCATTTGAAAGGAAATGGGGAAGCTACATCAGTATTTGCCTTTTTCTGCTGTTAACATCTTTCCATTAATACTGAAACTGCCCTCCATGTGAACTAACTGAAAGCTAAGTGTAGAGAATTTATGCCATCAACATCCTTGACCACAAGAAAAGGTATAAACCCTGAGAATTTTCTTGTATTTAACTGAGTAGATTTCACTTTATGGGAGAATATGGAAAAGAATCCTCAACCTTTAAAGGGCAAGAAAGTACAAGAAACACAGTCCAATATTTTCAGAACACTCCAAATTAACAGTTCTGGGCTTCTCAGTCCAAGACTATGCCAGAAAAATTTAAAAGAGGTAATTCAAAGAACAGGCTAGCAATCCTACCAAATTTTTCTAATTCAAACTGGTATATGTAGGAAAGTCTGCCATGGTTTAAGCCCAAAACCACATTTTCATGCAGACCTGTGACAAATACCATGTTGCTACAATGCAGGTTTCAAGTGCTGGCGTGCCTGCATTCCCTGTGTGCCCAGGTGGGTCCCAGGCAGCAGCCAAGCAGCCACAGAGCTGCTTCCTGCTGTCCCACCCTCTCCTCCCTCAGTAGCAAGGAGAGTAGAGGAGAGAAGAAGCACAGGAAAGTTTCTGGGTCAGGACAAAGGCAGTTAAACAGAAGGAAAGAAGCAGGGAGGTGACATAAGGGAAATCACTCACCACTTTCCAGAAGTAAACCAATGCCCAGCCAGTCTCCGAGCAGCAGGCACCCTGGAAGGCAACCCCCCTCCGCCCTTCTCCCTCTGCTTCCAGTTTTCATGGCTGAGCACAGCATTGTATGATGTGGACTATCCCCAGACCAATTCTGGGCAGCTGTCCCAGCTTTGTGCCCTCCCAATCTCTTGCCCACCCCATGCCTACTCAATAGAGTGGGGGGGGAAGAAAACCTTGATGTGCAAGCATTGTGCAGCAACACCCAAAACATCAGTGTGTTATCAAGACTGTTTTAGCCACAGCACTGTACAGGCTGCTCTCAAGAAATTTAACTCCATCCCAGCCAGACCCAGTAAAAGGTAAAAAAAGGAACTGAATAACCAGTTGATGTCAAAGTAACATCTCTGCTGTCTTCATAGCTAGTTTTTTGCCATGTACCCTGAACACTGACCAGTTAGTAACAAAGGTTTTGATACAAACAGCTCAAATTTATACTTATTTTGGATAAAACAAGCCCAAAATTATATTGTAATTTCATGCCTGTATTTAAATTTTTTTTCTAGTTATTTCAGAAAGCCAAGACCATCAATGTACACAGGGAGGTGAACATTACATACCTTCACTCCAGACCACTGGGGAAGGTGAGGAGGGGGAGGAATTCCCCTAAAGATTTGTTTTGGTATTTGAAGGATTGGCAGAAACACGCTTCAGAAGATTTAATTAAAAGACAGATAGTTGATTTTCAATTATAATCATATGCAGTGCACACAGACCAACCCAAAGATATCATTAAAGAAAGACCTCGAAGTCTACAAAGAGTGTCAATGGCAAACACAGGAATGGGATGGATGAAAAACGAAATAAGAGACACTAAGAGTGTCAAAGTCAATTCCAGTTACTGTCTTCACAGGAATTAATTCAGAAAAATATAAAAATATTAAGAAACACAACAAAGCACCTAAATTAGGAAACATTAAAAAAAAATAGAGACCCTAGTTTAGAGAGGGGGGGAAAAAAAAGCACATGGAAAAAAGACATCACAAGAAAGATAAACCAAATTTTCCCATTCACTCCTACCAAACATCTGCAATTCAGTGACATTAAAAGGTCAGGCATTCAAAGAAACAAATATTTCCACCTTTCACACAATAGTATCATATCTTGAACTTTGCTGCTCAAGACACAAGAGACTAACAGATGCACAGAAATTAAAAGGCATTCCAAACTCTGGACATCCCAGGTACATAAAGGTTAAAAAACAAAGATGCATTAAAACAAAGGAAAATAGGACAAAACATCCTCTGCAGCCTGACTATGCCAAATTTAACCAGTACAAGGGTTCTTGCACTGCAGTAGGTTACAAACCACTGATGTGGCCACTGTCAGACTGGAAATTTCTATTTACTTCAAATACATCAAAAATTTGCTCATCATTTCAAAGAAGAATATGTACATTCCAGGGCTTTAGGTTCTTTTAGTTCAAACTACATGCTGCTATCAACGAAAAGGGTGTGATGAGCAGGATGCATTTAGCCCATGTGATCAAATAAATGAGCCCTTACTTCAGCAAAGCACACACCTCTCATGCACAAAGATCACAGACTGCAGCCAATAATCAGGACATGCTTTGGTACTGAAAAGCCCACATAAGTCATCCCTAAGAAAAACAAGTTTAAACAGAATTGGAGGACACTGTGCATCACTGCATCAGGAGGATGCAGAGTATAAAATTTGAGCCACTGTGAAAAATTTCAAACTCTATGCATGCTTAAAATTACCTTGCCTGTATTTTGCAATTATATATATACATACATACATATATATATATATAACATGTATATACTGACTGTTTAACATCAACTATCTCTGTTCAGCAGTTAACTGTTCTACTGACCCAACTACATGGCTGCCAATTACCAGTCACTAATTTTAGGCCTAATGACTGGGAGAGAGCCAAAGTGCTTCACTCAAGTATTACATATTGCATTAATTAAAATAATTAATTTTGTATTAAAAAACAAACAATTCAAATGTGCCGAAGAAATTTTGTCTACAAGTACTTCTTCTTAAAAAGCCATTCTGTCTCACAATAACAGCTAATCACACAGTCATAACAGTTCTTGGTTTTTAGCTGAAATTCACATGAGGTTTTTCAAAGCAAAATGAATGAAGAATGACAATGCAGACAATTAAGAAGAGCAAGGACCATGCACCAAGTTTTTAGAGCTCATTTTTATTAAAAAAATATACAGTTCTTTCACTCTACAGAAAAAAATCAATTACACATAAAATGTTTATTACTTACAAAGTCATGCAAATAACACTGATTGAAAGGAAATCACTATTTTTTGAATGAGTAAGTGAAAAACTGTCCAATCTACTAACGTTTTTTGGCATTGAATGGACGCAGGTACATGTATGTACCATGCAGCATTCTACTGAAATGGAGGTCTGCTTCCCTGCGGCTCTAGGAACAAGGCCTAGCTTTATTTGTATCTGAAAGAGACACATTTCTGTCGTATCATTCAATTGCTTGGTGGTCTTCCTGCAATAAGCTAAACAAGGCATTACCAAATAACTACTGTATCAGAAGCAGTATTCTAGAGTGCTCAGAGACATTTATAGAGTTGTTTATCACTACACGTATGATCAATTTTTTTAAACCTGTGCTGTTCATTTCATCATTGCACACAATGTACAACGATTTTCAAAGTCTTCCTGCATATCCAGAGCATAATGACTAGTATAAAGCATCACCCTACTCTTGAGCTCTAAGGCCTGTAGGAAATACAGCAAGGAAGTATGGCACTGAAGAAAATGGGAGAAGAGGGGGAAGAGTCCCATTAAAAGCACATAACCCTCCATGCCCAGATCTCAAAGCACTCATGTGGATGTTAAAATTGATTTCCAGATTTTATTCCTGATAAAATTATCCACATACTGTTTGTACGTGCAAGAAAAGAGCCTTGACTGTAACCACCTACTGCAGTAACAATGCACAACAGACTGCTAGAAAAATCCTGTAAAACACCACTAGTCTTCTTAACTGCAAAGCAGACTTTCTAAATTAAAGGTACATTGCAGGACACTTTTTGGCTACATATACGATAACACTAGATTATATATTTAGAAGAAAATCGGTTTATACGTCTAAATTACTTTAAGTGTCCAATGCAACACTATTCAATGATAGACTGTCTTGCAACAAAATTCAATATGGAATTCAATTAAGCCAACCTTATGCCCAAACACTCAAAAGAACCTTATTTGCACACAAAACACAGGATGTTCTATTTTTCTCATGAATACATTTACTAACCCGAAAGCTCCTTTTCTTCAGGACGACCAAGACGACAAACCTGGACAACAGCTTTAGTCCAGACGAGTCCAAAGCGGCCTGATGGCGTCCACGAGACAGCAAGCACCAAAGACCTCCTTTTCTTGGGCATCCAGCCCACCCACGCACCGTGCTGCCGCCTCTCCGCGGAAGGGCGGCCTCCCTCGGCCGCCGGCTGCCGTGCGCGGGCCGGAGCGCGGCGCCGCGGGGGATGCGGTGCGGAGCGGAGCGGAGCGGAGGGCCCGGGGCCTTACCTGGCACGCAGCGGGACGAGGGGGATGAAGGAAGGGCAGCGTCCCTCGGCGCTGACCCCGCCAGCCGCCGCCGCTCCCGTTGTCTCCGGACACAGGAGGAACGCAGCGCCGCCCCGCGTCCTGCGCGGCCGCTGCCGCCCCGCCCTGCGGCGCTCATTCCGGCAGGGAGGGCGAGCGAGCCCCCCACCGCCGGCCCGGCCCGGCCCCCGCCCGCGCGGCGGCGGAACTGACCTCACCGCGCCCCGCCCGCCGCGCGTAGAGCTCTACCGAGCCCCGGCACCTGCCCCGCCGAGAACCAGCGGGGAGCGCCGTGTGAGGAGCCGCCAGGTCGGGCTGGTGCCCGCTGGCCGTCCCTCCACGCTGGCACAGCAGGCCGAAGGATGCGCCGTTGTTCCCGATAACCTCTCTACGCGCCTTCCGATTCCGTTGTGTTTCGCTAGGGTATGGTGTGGGCACACATTTCACGGGCATCACTCAGTCAAGTAGTGCAATGACCTGGTTGTGTGTTTTCATATCGTTTCCATGAAATCCAGATGTCTTTTCAAATTAAGTGTTCTTAGCAAAATTTGGAGGGAGAAAAAGAAGATTTAACTGACTGCGTATTGCCCTGTAAAGTACCTTTGATGTCACTGCATTACCAAAAACAAACCATATCTAACACAGTCTTGCCAGAAGAGGTCTTTGGAATGAAGCCTTTTCGTACGTGTCTTCGAAGTTGAGCTCTGTTGCTGTGACGCATTTTCCAATCTGTTCTCTACTGGAATGATTTGATAGTGCTTGATCTTGTCTAGGCATGGACATACATCCTCACAGATCTTGGATTTTGGGATAGGCTCTTCAGGTCACAAAAAAAGAAAAGGGAAAGCTGTATACAGGGAAGTGTGTGGAGAAAGAATCCTCTCAATTATAATTGTGTTAGTTCCAAAATGAGATCTTGCCTTCAAGAGTCTTTTGATTAGCAGTGTAAGAAAGCATTCTCAATACCAGTTTGGAACACTGTAGTTTACTGAATATCTTTAAACTTGTGAAGAAAGTTTTCTGGCTGATGGAGCCTGTTGGGATTTCTAGAAGGTTTTTGACAACGACTGTCAAAGAAACAGAACTGTAATGGCATAAGACCAAGTGTCTTGGCATGAATAGCTGGTTAAAGGTGGAGCGAGTGTGTGGTCCTTGTAGCATAGTGCACTGCTGGGTCAATCTCTGCTTGGACCTGCTTAACATACAAGTGACTTGAAAAGGGAGCTGGGCTCTCAGGTGACAGCCTTCTGATCATACCAAGCTATTGAGGGACCCGAGGACAAAATCCCACTAAAGATCTGGGAAGGACATTGTGCAGCTGAATAACTAGACAGTAAAATGGCAGATTTGATTTTGGATAGATTAAGATGATGCACAGTGAAGAAAAACCTGACTTCAGATAAAAAATCAACTTTAAGTTGACCAGTACTGTACAGGGGCAAAATCTTGGCCTTAGAAAAGGCTTTTTGTGAAAATCTCACTTCAGTGCTTAATCGAATTGATAAAAATAAGCCTTATGCTGAGATTTGAAAAAAAGCAGAGAACAAAGCAGTTTAATGCTGCTGTGTAAATTCATGGTTAAACACATTTTAAAAGCTCTTTGAGTTTTTAAGTTCCCTCAGCTTAGGAAAGACAGAATCATAGTGGAAAAGGTTCATTGAAAGGTAAAAAGCATGATGAAAGGTACTTTACTCTCAACTTCATGAAAGGAACAGCTAAGGAAGCTTCTATCTAAAAAAAAAAAAAAGAAAGAAGACTTGATAAAGGGCTAAAAATCATGAGTGATCGTTGAAATTTTGAGCAGTTACAGTTGGAAGTTGTCTGTGTGGATGCCATGAAAGCGACCAAGGACAATTTGCAATTACTGACTGGTGTCAGCTATTCTGCAAAGGTGATTGTGCAGTGTTATGAAAGTTTACCTCCCTAACTGTTAAATCAATCAGTCTTTGTAATATGAACATGTATTCACTTTGTTACCATGTATTAATTCACATAATACAGTGAAATGGAATGAGATGGTGGAATTTTACTGGAGACTTTGAGTTTGTTCATACTCAAGTAAAACAAACTAAAGGTCAGCCCAGCCCTGGAAATAGGGATTTTGCTTCTTGGAAGTATAGAACTGTCCATGAAAGATAAAAGACACCCATGGACAACCCAGATAAAGCCAGAATTCTAGTCACTCTAATATGTCTTTGAAACCCTTCCAGTGTTATCTGGCAAAACTGACCCCAGGGACATCTGGATCAATAGACAAGCAGCAAGAATGGTGCAGAAATACAGTTGCCTGGCAAAAACTTACAATTATTAGAAATCGGTAGTGTGGGTCTCAGCTATTAGTCAAATCATGTTCTTCTGGAGTGATTGAAGGGTATAAGAACCCTGTGTAAAACCACATTCAGGGTGACCCAGTTTGGCTGGGAAACTTAAGGCACATGAATAAATATTTACTCTTGTAATTCTATACTTTGTTTCCTGGCCTCTCTTGTTCAGTACCAATTGTTGCAAACTTTCATAAAAGTGAACTACACTTAGCTGATCTTTTTTTTCAAAAACAGAAAACCTAGGAACATTCCTAAAATACAAGATTATAATATTTTGCACAATAACTGAAGAAATAGTTTGCTAGCCAACAGATTTTCTCACCTTATGTCTGTATCTGAGAAAGTCCAGACTGCAATAAATGTACTTCATATCAGTGAAATGGAATCAGTTATCTGATACTCAACATTAATTAAGCACTTTTACCTCTCTTTCTTAGATATGTGTAGCTAGCCAGCTCTGAGGTTAGAATGACAATTTCCTCTAACAAATGCAAATAGAATATTCAGTATTTAAATAAGGCCAAACAATGTCATCCAGAAAAAAGCCTTGTTATGGACCTCTTGAGAGACAATTTGCATCTTCCTCAGTGTTTTACAGCTACATAAATTCAGTCCCTGCCTTACGTTGGGTTCAAAGCAGCTCGATTTCCCATCCGTGTCACATGAACGCTCTTTTCTTTGCAGACATGAGTCTGTTACAGATGGGTAATGAGATGATTGGCTCTCACAATTAAGGGATAACTCTTGTGTAAATATTAAGAAAAGCTTTAGTGATGTATAGTTATGTTATTGTAGTTTAGATGTCCTCTTTTCTTCCCATAGTTCCCTTTCCCCCCCCTGTATTGTGACCATCAGACAGCCAGGGTTGTCTAGGACAGGTAGAAAAGAAGAAGACGTTCACATGTGTTCCTTACCGGGGACAGTGGGGAATGGAAAAGCTTGTTGCTTAGGGGGTGTGGCATGGCAACATCTGATCTCCAATCAAGTCACAAGAAAACAATCTCCACCGATATATGGCAAAGAAGAGCTGACTGACAGACTTTGGGAGGGGCCAGGGCTGGCTGATGCAACCCCCAGGGGTATAAAAGACTAAGCATCCATCTTGAAGAGGAACCAGCCACATGGTATGCACGAGGGGTAGTTCCCAGCACTGCAACTTTTTCCTTATGTAGTCCTTTGTTGTATTTTTTGTTAAGGTTTAATAAACCTTTTTACATTTTCAAAGTGAGCAGTTGTTTCTCACAAGTCAGACCTGATCAGACCAGATCCGATCGTAGTGCCTCTTTCTCACTCAGGCTCCAGCCCTGATCCGACTTAGAACACCAAACAGGGAGTAATTCCCTGCAGTTTCCACCTTATCTGTCCCCTTGGTTTGCCATATCCAAGCCATCTTTGGTGACCTCTGAATTCCCAGCTCTTGCCTCCTCTCTTGTTCCTTCCCAATTTGTCCTGTGATTCAGCCACCCGCAGTGCTGGTTAGGTGTTCCTGAGCTTTCCTGCTGAGGCTTCCAAAGGAAGGGCTGGCACTTGGTAATGCCAAGGCTTGTTACCCATGTAGGAAACGCTGATAGCAGTGCTGCTAGTTGGCAACCAGAAGCAGCATCCAAGCAAGAAGCCTCTTTAACTTCCTGCATCTTTTGCAATATTGCTGTCTATGAAATTGGTCCTGTCACCAGGAATTCACTACAGCTCCTCAGTTGCCTCTGCTTGTCCTGTTGCCATCCTACATTCCTTCCCATCCCCTAACAGAGTTATCTGATATGAAATGCTGATTGTTGCTTGTGGATCCTTGGGAACCACAGGTAGACAGAATCACAGAATCATGGAATGGGTGAGATTGGGCGGGACCACACTGGGTCATCTGGTCCGACCTCCATGCTCAGGCAGGGCCATCCCAGAGCACATGGCACAGGGTCATGTCCAGATGGTTCTTGAAGATCTCCAATGAGGGAGACTCCACAATCTCTCTGTTCCAGAATCTGTTCCAGTGCTCAGTCATCTGCACAGTAAAGAAGTTCTTCCTCAATATTCAGGTGCAATTTCCTGTGCATTAATTTCTCTCCATTGCCTCTTGTCCTGCTGCTTGGTACCACTGGGAGGAGCCTGGCTCCATCCTCTTCATGAAGCCGCCCTTCAGATATTTACAGATATTGGTGAGGTCTCTTGTCAGTTGTCTCTTCTTGAGACTGAACAAGCCCAGCTCCTTCAGCGTTGAAGCTCAACTACAAAACTTTAAAACAGCTGTGTTTAGAGAAGGTTCACAGAAAAAGAAAATAAAGAGGATGAGTAAATGAGCTACAAGATGAATCAGGTGCTCTAGGTGCTTCTCTTGAACAGTTTTGGTTTGTGTGTTACTAAATTCACAAGCCCTTCTGTCACTGAAAATGTTGGCATAAATCAAACTCTCTAACACTATTATTAGTACTAGATTGCAGGCATTACTTTATTACAGCACTGGATGCGTGCCAGCTCTTTCCCTGAACATGCATAATCACTTTCAAGACTTTTCACTATTTGTACATTTTATCAAACAAAGAAATTAATGTTCATTGGCTGTAATTTATATAGTTGTCTTCATTAATTATTATTCTATCTTCTGTTGGTTGTTGATTGATTTGTTTCTTCTCATGCTAATTAGTCCATATTTTCAG